CTTGTATCTTCAATAGGAAAGAAAATGTTTTCCATTATATTAGATATACAACTATAGCTTTAAAAACACATTTTAAAATAGCATTTATTCACGTAATATGTATAAATATATTGAAAATATGTCCACATCCATAAAAATATTGCGTCACTAAAATCCATAGATAAGAGGATAAAAGAATAAAATTATTGCCAAATGTTAAAATGTTTGAATGATAAATGATAGGGAAAGCAATTGACGATACTGAACTGATAGTCACTAAAATAAAAATTATGAATCAAAATACATTTCCTACAATTTCGAAAATGATGTTCTCCTTCATAAAAAGAGAATGTTATGCTTAAATATAAATATAGAATTATACCAGTAATATACGTAATTTAACAAATACAATGCATTAAATGTTCCTAATATCACAATTCCTAGTGATAATAGAAATTCTTAAGGTTAGTAAACTTGCTAAAACACTTAAAAAATTAAACAAAATTGATCTATATGTAACTTATTTTAAAAGATAAGTCTATTTTAATAATAAATATTGTAAATGTAATAAAGTTTATAATGTAATAAACAAAGAAAAATGGATAATCAGAATAAAGACTTCACTTTTAAAATATGACATCACAATGGAAAAAAAAAACACATCTGTTCACACTGACATCAGCAGCTAATATTTGTAAAAAAAAAAATGCATGAGTCAGTGTTGTTTTTTATTTTAATCTGTAGTGAATTTCTTCCTTTATTATTTATCACTAAAATATTTATTTTAGGAACAATAATAAAACATTCTAATATATTTAATGATAATTTTATACTTTTATTAGTTTTATTCTTATTGATTTGTTTGTATTATTGTCATTAAAGTAATAAGTCAAATTGATACATTTGATGATAAACTGTTCACTCCAAATATATATGGTCATACCTTGTCATAGTAGAGGGCTTGCATTTTTCAATGATCCTAAGAGAAAAACTGTCTGGAGTTCAAATTCTTGTAGAGCCACTCATGGTGGTAAGGTCTAGGAGGAAGGACCAGACTGAATGTGACTGACTTCTCCCCCCACCCCCCAAAAAAGACCCCAATGGTGGAATAGGCAAAAATCTATAATTGTCTCAATGGCCAAATTGGCAGAAGAGGGAAGTGCTAGTTGTGTTGGCATAATCAAGGTGGACCTTGACAGACCAAGCATCTGAAAGCCTGATGCAATCAGGTTTACCAGATCTCGCCAGTCTCAATCCCCTTTGAGTCATGAGGAAGGTGCTTCTGGCCATGTGTGTAGGCTTCTCTGTTGTGCACTCAAAATCATGTGAGTGGCCTCATCAAACTGTGATTAACAGACATCTCTGCCACCTCCACCACCACTGGGGGGGGGAGGGCAAAAGGAAATAGGGAGGGAGGATAATAATCTCAATGCTTGGATGCATGCAGGTGCTGACAGCAAACTTATTAAAACAAAGTGGGAGGAAAGTAAGGTTAAGAAATTATAACTCATTACAACGTGGTGAATTGAAAAAGACTAAAAAGGCAAAATAGTTATTATCCTCCAGAGCTCAGTCATTTAACTGTTTTAACCATTTAACAAGGAGTTATTTTTCTAGACCTTACTTTCCCCCCATCTTTGCTTTTTCTTTATATATATATATATATATATATATATATATATATTTTATTATTATAATAATATAACCATAATAAATTCTTTGATAGACTTTGAATTGAAAAAATCCCTTTAACATACACTTTAGTTGAAACTTTGAAATCTGATCTTAATTTTCAGGATGAAATCTGTAATTGTTTAGTTTAAATTTTTTTTTTTTTTTAAATGTTATAGTAAAGAATTTAAAATTTATAAAAAAAAAAAAAAAAAAAAACAAATCAATTTTGTTGATTATGAAGTTTGATTACAAAAATTTGAGGAAAAAAAAAAGTTTATATATATATATATATATATATATATATATATATATATAGCTTCCTCCAAATGTAATGTTTCCTATGTTGGCCCATGATGTTAGAGGTGGATATTGATGATACAATTTTAACCTTCCTGCCAATAACTTTATTTCTTGCCTTATTGCAGATAACAGCTTGAGCAATAGTCTGGTATAATGCCAACTGACATGAAAGTGCTTATGAAGCAGAAATATATCATTGAATTCTTCCATGTAGAAAACCTGCACCAATTGACATTCATAATCGCTTGCTGATCATTTATTGATGTAAACAAAAATGGGTGACAGTTAATGCCTTTCACCAGTTGTTGAGTGATGTGCATGACAAGCTGCATTTGGCTGATAAGATTGAATATCTAGATATTTTCCTGATGGTCAATCGTGATTTATATTAGGAATCTGGCTCTATCCAAACTTGTGCTTCCAGTATCTGTTATTTCCATGGAAATAAATACAAAGCAGAACATTCTCTTATTTTTATTTCTTTCTTAATCAATTCACCCCAAGCAAGGCAATAATGCCACTAAGATGTCAGGGGATACTGTGTGTGAAAGAGAATGAGGACTTCAGAAGGAACTGGAAACCTAAATTCTGAACAGGAAACAAGGGATAAACTTCTACTCCTGTTCAAACAATTAGTAAGTAGTGTGAACCAGATTATAGGCAAAACTGTCTACTCCTATTGAGGAACTATAAATAAATTGTAAATAAAATTTCAGTTTAGGTGGAGATATTAGAAGTATAGTTGAAGTAGACTTTAGAAGGAACCAGAAACCCAATCCTAAACATGAAACAAAGAATAAGAAAAGACTAGGGATGAGTGTGAGATATATTTTGTGCATAAAATGTCGGCAGCAAACTAAACAGTTAAAATCCCCCTGTAAAAATGTTTCAAATTGTCTTCCTGGTACAACTGTGTTTTAAGATAATGTTTTATTTTCAGGTACTGAAAATAAAATTTTGTGTTCTAAAGATTAAGTTCTAACTCCATCGTGACACAATAACCAATATAAAGCACAGTAATTTAAAAAGTATTCATTACTATGTTTAGTTTATTTTGTAAATATCTATATCTGTCCATGTCTCATATTAACCAATCATGCTGTACAAATAACAGTACCGAGTTTACTACTAAACTTTATAATTGTGTGTAAATAAATCTGTTTATTTTGTCCAACTTGCATTTCTCATGGGAAATGCTAACCTTGTCTTTGTGGGGGAACACTTTCTTTACAGAATGGTGATCCTGGAATAAGTAGCTTGTCTGATCAGTTAAAATTACTTACTAACACATGAAATTGGTGTAAATGACCTTGAACTGAAATAAGTTCTTTAAATTGTACTTGTCATATCTTCAATTAAGAGAAATATTTTTTGAATTCATTTTTAACTCTTTAATTTTTTTAATTACCTTTTTATTTTATGTCATTTCATTTATCAATTTCTTACAAGTAATGTTTGAATGTATTTATTTAATATTTTAAATTTTGTAATGGTTATCATAACTTATTATTGATTGCAAGTTATTCATAAAATACATGATGAATTCTTGTTAATAGTTTAGTGAAGTCTTTTTATTTTATTTTTTATTGAATTATAAAATTATCAAAAAAAAAAAAAATGACTGCATAGAGCTGTTTGGAATTCAACTGCCTTTTTATTTTCTGAAGAGTCTGGATAAAATTTTTCAATTGATATTTGGCATTTAGAATTTTTATTTGTATCTGAATTTGAGTGCAAAAGTATAAAACAAAGATCTTTTATTTGGCTATGCAGATTGAAAAAATATTTCACCTTTTGAAAGATCTCGGCTGTCTTTCCAAAATTCTCCTCTTATTTTAGTTATAAAGGCAAAAACATCATTCATTATCTTCAAAATGCTCTGAATCTAGGATAATGTACAATAATAATGATGCAAGAACTATTTTGGATGTAAATTTTTTTATGGTTCATCTAATGGCCTGAATTGCCATGACTTTTTGGGAAAGGTAGTGGGATTTCTTTGGGTTGCCTTTTTGATGGTTTTTGAATTCTTTCTTCTAGACTGGCTGTCACCCAAGGCTAGAAAAGCCGTTTCTATCCTGCTATTCAACACATGGAACGTATTCATACCTTTCCCAAGATCATTAATGCAAAGTTAATATAATAGACAAGGCTAGAATTTGTACTCTGCTTACTGATTTCACTTTTCATGTCAATAATTGTTATACTAAGCTATTCATTTGTTCATAACTATAGTTGTGATATATCAATATGTGGTTATTTATATTGGATTACATAATATTTATTGAACAAAAGTTAGTAATAAACTTGAGCTTCTCAATCAGTTTAGTCACAAATCATTAAGTTAATTGTTTTTGGTAAACTTTTGTTTTTTTTCTTGTATAATGCAAATAATAAAGAGCTTTTCATTCTTTTAAAATCACACCTTATACTTTATGGTGTAAAGAAATTTGAAAATTTTGTTTTGTTCATGGGGGTAATTGAATAAGTTAACTAATTATTCAAATCGGCAATAATTAGTCCACTATCCCTCCCACACACACACTAGCTCTTCAAATGGCTTTAAGATTATAATTGAAATTTGTTTTACTTATTCTTTCAACATTTTCTGAACATGTTTGAATTCTTCTGACTTATTTTGTTTTTCCCTAAAGCCTATGTTGTCATCTTAAAAGTTTTTAACATTCAAAAACCATTGCAAAAAAGTCTGAATAAAGATGTAAATAATCTGTGATAGATCCTTATCATTTATTGAATGAAAACAAAATGTTTGTGTCAAAACAGTCATCATAATGACTGTTAACATTTTCAAAGTGTTGTCTGTATCAAATCAGTACAAAAGTGTTTTATTCATAGCGGTATTGAGTTAGTAAGTAACACTAGTTTCAGGTTTACTATTTAATCAAAACATTCTGGCACTCTAATGATCAGAAAAAAAAAAAGATATTACTTTTGGGGAAATGTTTCTCCAAAGTATTGGTTTCCATATTTATGAAAGGAATGTTGACTTACATGTTCATTTCATTTATTCAATATTTCTTTTTTAGGTTTGTTGGGTGACAATGGAATCCTGCCAGCAAGAGTTATTGAATTTAAAGGTATGTGGATATATTGTAATTGGTCATAATACCAGTTATTTTTCTTTCTTTTTTTTTAATTGATACTATTCATGTCATTATCAATTAATGGCTTTTATTGCTGAATCTATTGATTATAGTTGAGCTTTTTTGAGTCCACCTACTCTTTGCCCAATGTTTTTTTTAGTAGACTTTGCATGGAACTTTAAATATTAAACATTTAAATGCAGATTTACTTAAGCAAACAATACCTTCATTATCTGTTTTTATTTGGAAGTCTATTGTCTTTCAATTTTTAATTGAGAATTTATTTTTTAGCATAACTTTTACAGTTGTGGTCCTGGTAGTCTTGAACCTCTGTGTTCAGGAAGTTAAAATGCACTTTTAGGATAGTGTAACAGCAACATAGATGTCCCAGAGTAGATGCAGATAGAATTAGTTTAGTTGGTGTACCTGACCAGTCTGTTGATTATTTCTCTGTCCACTCCTCCATCATCAGGGGGATATGATGTTGCATTGGTAGTTGAAGTCCTGGGTCACTTCTAACATAGGTGGACTGATGGAGATTGAAGGTGGGTGATATTCTTTTTTGGTGTTGGTGCAGAATTTTTTTTTTTTTTTTTTTTAAGGCTGACCTCCCTGCTAAAATAGCTTGTGACCTTAACATTAGGTAATGTCCTGCTTTGCTGACTGTTTCTATGATGTCATGTAATCTACAAGTTGCTGTTATCCTTTGTGATTGTATATTTTCAAATTAAAATTTAAGTAAATAATGTGAAGTTACTAATAAGCGGGACTATTTAAATTGGAAATTTGACCTATTTAGATACTATTAATAAAATTATAAATATGTAAACATTTTTCTTTTTCCTAAATATGGTTTTTAAAAAGTTATTTAGAATATTTTGTTGGGATGAAATACAGATGACATTGATCTATAAATTCATGGATATCATCTTATTTTAAAAAATTGTTTTTACAAAATATAAGTCTCTCTCTCTCTAATATAGTGTAGTTTGTAAAGGCTTAAAGTTCAGTATTGAAAATATGAAATTTGCTGTATTTTTTAAAGCTATCCCATAATGCATACTGTTCTTTAATATAAACACATAATGCTTTGATTAAATGGACATTTAGTCTAGAATTAAAACCATTTCAATGAGTAAACAATAAATCTAATAACTGATTAGTGTTAGAAATTAATTGAAAGAAATTAAATAGTACCAGTGAAATATTTTTTAAAATACCATGTTTGTATTAATCATTAACAGGTGTGTGTATGTATGTATATATATATATATATATATATATATATATAATGTGTGTGTACATGTACAAAATATCTTTATATGTAATTCTCAGAATTACATCTGTGCGTGGGCCAAATAATTCCATAGGAACTTTTGAAGGCTTTTAAAAGCATAATATCAGATGACAAATTTGGCAAGTTTTATGTCTGAATTTTATGTTTATATACATACTTATCTCAATATTATCTATTAACATTTTTTTTTTATTTGTATTTCATCATTCTCCTTGAAGATATCCTTTTCTTTTTCTTTTCTGTGCATTCTTTAGTTCTGTTGAAATCTCCAAAACCTTGCAAGTTGTTTTGTTTTTTTACATGAGTATAAGGCCATCAAGGGAACATTATCATTTATGCAATGTTTGTCACAGTAGCTGGAAGGCTGATCTTCGTTGCAAGCATCAAATAAAAGGTCATAAATTATCTTAAACACTCTTCCTGATTATTTCCTTTATGTGAACTACTGCTACCATATATGGGCTGGATCGGCACATTCTTCACTTTCCAGTTTCAATAGTCCAAATGTGTCTACATGACCTGGTGTGTGAATTGTTTTCCACCTTTATAACCCCTTTCTCACAGAAATGTTGCAAGCTTCCTGCTATTTTATTATTTCCATGGAAAGTGTTCAGATAAACTACATTCCTTAGTTCCATCATTTCTAACTTTCATAGCTATGAGCACCATTCCATGTAAGTGCATCATCTCATTCCCTTCATATTCCATTGGCAAGATATAAATTCCATTCAAACAGCTTCTTCCTATGAACAGCTACTTTATGGAACTGACTCCCAAGATGATGCTTCTCTAAACGCTACAGTCTTAACCTGTGAAAGTCTGGAGTCAACTATTATCTTCTCTGTGTATCCCTATAAACTGTACCTTTTTATCTCACCCTCTATCTCGAGTGGCTCTTGGGCCTTGTACAGGGTGAACATTATTGTGAAAAAAAGAAAAAAGTACTTTACAAGTGTTATAATTAAAATGTTGATTTTGTAACTTAATTTTATTTTAGAAAATTAATCGATTGGGTTATTTGCAAATTCCTGATAGCTGCATTTTAAAGAATTTAATAATGCAAAAAGTAATTTCAGGATATGAAGCTAAAATGATTTTACAAAAATACTTGTTTCTTTTTTTTGTTTTTTATGACCTCTTCTAATAGTTTCATTTAAACATATGTCAATTGTTTTGTTTGTTGTTAAATATTTGCATAGGTTTCTAGCTTTATTGTAAAGAAAAAAAAAATAATTCTGTTGCATATTAGATTGTCACACATGAAATGACACATTTTTTGCTTTGTTGTTGATCCAGTCATCTAACAAGGTAACCTCCTTAGTATATACAAAAAAAAAGTCTTGACTTATTCCTGATTCTTTTTCTTTAAATACATTGTTATTCATAAGCCCAATGAAAATGATTACAATGACATAATGTTGAGTAATCTTACTGTATGAATACAAACTGGGTAATACAACCATTATTGCATTGAATAAGTATATGTGATATGAGAAATGGATACTCTTTGACATCAGTAAGAGAGTAGGCCAGTGGTTAGATGCAAGTGAATACTCAAAACCTCCATTGCACTCTAAAAACTGTAATGTGGTCTTTCAAAGGGGTTATTCATTATTCATTCTTGCCTCAAAGAAAAACAGCAACCGTGTATTGTGGAAAAATTGTGTATGCATGAAAAATTAAAAAAAGAAACCTCCTAGACTTGTGAATAGGGATTGCCCAATTTTGCTGCACGACGACGAACAGCCACATACTTCTCAATCAATTGTCCGAAAGCTGTATAGCCTGAATTATGAAATTTTGCCTCCTCATCCTCCATGTTCACTTGATATCTCTCCTATTGATTATCACTTGAGTGTTTTGAGCTTTTCATATGCAATAAAACATTCTCCAATAAGGAAGAGAAAATTGAAGCATTTGAAATGTTTATTGCATCAAAGGATGAGAATTTTTTTTTTTTTTTTAAAGATGGGATCAAATTTCAAGGTATACTGGAGAACAGTCATTCATCAATATGGAGCCTATTTCAATGAAATAAATTAATTTCAGAAGCATTTTAATCATTTCCTATAAAGTGTGTCATTTCATGTGTGACAACCTAATATTTTATCAAATTACAATTCCTGCATTCACTATTGCTTTAATCAACATCATAATTTTCTTATCACTATTATTTGTTTCAGAAGTCAATTCAGTTGCAGAATTCTTTCGGGGTAAACCTACTCTGTTACGGCTTATGCCTTTCCTGGGACTTACAATTGAGAAAGGCATGGACCTTCTGTGTTTGTTGGGCATCTTGCTATCTTTCCTCTGCATGACTATAAAGTCTTTTAGGAACAGTATAGAATATGGTGCCCTTTGGTTATTATACCTTTCACTTTATCAGGTAATGAATTCTTGTCTCTTTGACATATTAGTGTTGATATATAATTTAAATCTTATTTCTTTTGAAACATTTTTGTTACATTTAAATTGTAAGAAAGTGATTCTGTTGATACTGTGTATATTCTAGACACACAATTAGAATGGTCTCATATAAAAAGTAATATTTCAACAAAGGTTAAAATATCTTAGAAATGACATTTAAACTGTGTGTGTAGCAGTGTTCTTGTAAGAGAGCACTGAAGAGGAAATTTATTCATCATTGTTATGTATATGTGAGGAGGAGATTAGTATTTTAGAGGATTATGTTGGCATGTACTCTTGTCTTAGATTGCTGCTGAAGAAAAAGCATTTTTTTGAAAAGACACTTTTTAGTCACATCAGAAATGGTTCCATTTTCTCCAGAAATGATCATGATTCATTGAAATACAGTAAAATTTAAATTGGTATTTTAAGTGTATTTCAATTTTTTTTTTTTTTTAAAACTCATTTCACCCCAAGCAAGGAAATAAAGCCACTAGGACTGGGTTATTGAGTGTTAGAGAATATGAGGCAATAAAAGAACAAGAAATAAGAAATAGTTCATTCCTCTCCAACTCAGTCAAGACAATCCCCCAACCTGAGATGAGCAGTAAAAATTAAAATTGGAGACAAGAAAAAAACAAAAAAACTTTTGGGAATTTTTTTTTTATAATTATTCCATCCCAAATAAGGCAATAAAGCCACTAAGATGCTAATGAGAAAAAGAAACACTATTAAGGAGAGAGAACAATAAAAGAACAGAAATTAAGACGGAAGATAATGATTGACATTGCATTTAAATTTTTGAAGATCAAAATTAACTGGGGAAACAAGAAGTTGGAAGACTTACACAAGTGAGGAGTGCAATAAAAGCATGTAACTTAGTTACATCTCGCCATTTCAACTGTAAAATGATTCAGACCTTGCTGCCAGTCTAGTACTGTGCTTAAATTAATAAAGTCTAGGATCCATAGTAGAAAATTTACGAGAACAATTACCGTGAAAGTATTTACAGAAAAAGCACTGGTAAGCTACGTTATGGTAATAGGAAAGTGACTGAAGTTGAAATGCCAGGTCAGGTCCAATAACATTGCAGATTTTTCTTTGGATTTTATCTAGATTCTCTAAATATATAGGAGTACCAGACCAGATGTGGCAGCAATAGGATGAATTGTAGACTTATAAATAAATATGTAAGATAGATTTTGTTGATAAAAATTTTTCAGCATGATATCGGGAACTGACTTTCCTAACGGAAGACATAGCAATTGGTTCAATAGAGTTTTTCCACTTCATGTCAGCTGAAAACAAGGAGAAGTAGTGAGTCACTCTCCCGGAGGTTAGCATCAGCCATACTGATAGAAGGTAAAGAGTTCTCTCAAATGATTAAAAAAGAGCAATTTCATTTTTGAGGCATTAAAATCAACAAGCCAGTCCTTGCTTTATTTAACATCAGATTGTAGGTTTTATATATATATACTGAGAGACTGTCAATATGACCTTATTGACTTGATCAAACTTACTATTAAGACAGGAGTAAGTAGTTGTCATCAGCAGAGATCCTGACTTGAGAACTGGTGACATCACAAATGTCATTTATGAAAATTAGAAATGATGTAAGTCTAAGGATAGAGTCCTGTGGGAACACCTGCATTTATGCAAAAAAATCTAGATTGGTTATTCAATAATTTTTTCATTTTGCAATTTGAGCAGACTGAATTTGTCCATAAACACTATAAGCTTTCAATTTGTGAAGACCAGTATGCCAAACCCTGTCAAATGTAGAGAGGCTTGTTTTCTGTGTAAACAGAAAAATGGAATGACCTACTTGAAATGGAAATCTTTTTCCTAATAGATCTTCCAACTGCCATTTTTATTTGTTATACTATGTTTAATTTTCCTAACTCACTCGTCCAACAAAAATCAAAGGATAGTCGCTAATGTTTTTAGTACATCACCTTTACCTACCGTCTCCCTACAGTTTACATTATTTAGGAACCAAGTTTTACAAAGTTGGCTTAATTTTAAAAAAAAAAAAAAAAAAGTGGGTGGGGGACAAAAATTCTGTTTCGTTTTATACATTTTTTTTTTCTATTACATATGGTGACGGAGCCACCAGAAAGCCAAATTAAGCTATTTTTTTCAATAATTTTGTCATAATTTCAAGAAAGGGACCAAATGATAATTTAGCTTTGTGTGTCTAGATGACTTTCCAACAGTTTAATTATGGGAATTTATTGAAAATTGAACTTTTTCTGTTTGCCTATTTTAGTTTGTGGTTGGTTTTTTTTTTTTTTTTTAAAAAAACATTTTTTGGTGTCTTGACTGATTTCAACCTGGCAACCCTGTGCATGCACACCCAAATTAGTTTTAATATTGTAAGAATTCAAGTGAGATAATTTTTTTTTTTTTTTTATTATAATAATAAAAAAAATTTACTAAAGTGCTATGTGAAACAAAAATATATCTGGAAGATATGAGTCTGTGAGTTTGAGTTAAATATTGAATTTTGTTACAGTAATTAGTAAAGATGCATGCAAACTTTTTCTCGAAAATCAAAATAATTTTTAAAAACTTACCTATTAGCTACTCTAAAAAAAATAGTTCTTTACAACCAAAATGTTCTATCAAAAAAAGGCATATTTCACCTGTATGGAAAACTGGAAGCTTGGACTGATTAAATGGATTTTTTTTTTTTTTTTTTTTTTTTTTTTTTTTTAAAACTTAACATGCAAAAGCAACAAGCTGCTTTATACAAACAACCCACAACCTTGAAAAATGAACCTTCTCCTCCCAAAAAAAGAAATAAAGCCGAATGACTGCAGTTTCTAAAATTTATGCACAAGCCAGAATGGAAGAATTTCCAGAAGCCTTTTATGCCAATGACAATGGGCTTTTCTGTAAATTTTGTCATTTTAGTTTTGACCTTGTTTCAGGTGGACACTTTAAATCTAAAAAAAAAAACCATTTGGCAAAAATGATGTTGCTCAATACTTGAAAAAAAAAAAAACTGGACGAAAACAGCAATATCTGAAATAGCTTGAAGCCTACTTGCAACTTGTGAAGCTTCCTACTGTTCCAATGACAACCCAGTGGAATTCATGATTGAATTCAGCCAAGTATCACTCTTCACATGTTCAATTTTATGAAGGATTCTTAAAAAAAAAAAAAAACGACTTGGCAATAGACCAAATTTTGGAATTAGTAGATGATAGTCAACTGCATCATACCTTAATTTCCATTGCAATCTGCATTTCATCAATAAGAATTGCACTCATTTAATAAAAGCGTTGACAAGCTTAGAGGAGACCAAGTTACCATGTGCATGTATTGTGTGCAACCTAATGGAAGATTTAAAGTATTACCTTGATAGTGGTAGGCTGAAAGCAACATTTGGTCTAGAAACTGAGCATATCCTGTCTGAACTGGAAAGCATAGAAAGTAATAAGTTTACATCAAATTTGCAGGCTGTATTCAGTACAGCACTTTCAAAGTTGAACAAATGCATAGATACTTAGCCTGTATATGAATGAGTCTTAGAAATTAGCTAGTCTGTTCAATCATATACAGCTATCATGTATTAACCATGACATTGCCAGTTTTGCAGCTATCAAAGATTTGCAACATCCATCCAGTGAACTCTGAAGAATTTCAAATTTATATAAACTACAAAGATGACCTATAAAGATGAAGTATTATAATGAAACAAAAACAAAAATCTATACTGAAAATGGAGCGGGAAAGGAATTCCTTAAAACCTAAAATGGAAGGAAAATTTGAAATCGAAAGTTGGTCCCTCTACAAGTGTCTTAGATATTCAAAACAACCTGAACTTTGCCATTCTTATCTAAAGTTTGATGCTCTTTCATCAATAATTATTGGCCTAGAGAAGCAAAAGCCATATTATCTGAAAGAAGACCATTATGCGAGATGCTTAATCAATTTAATTAGAGCATCTAGTACTTTACCAAAAAGAGGTAGAAGGCAAATTTGCTGATAGAAGATCAGATGGTTTGCTTGAGTTTTTAAAGACTAGAGCTACCAGAAGAGGCTTTCCAACAAGCAGAAAAACAAGTAGTAGCAAGGCATTATTGGAGCCAGTTCAGGATCACATTTCTTAAGGACTATTGCAGGGATATCAAGTTTACATACTTTCTGAGGAACCAGTTTAGAAATAATAGCAGAAACCATGGATAGAATTATATGCATATCAGTGGAAAGTCAGGCAAATATAGTCCAGATGAGTCGAGGATAGAATTTAAAGGCAATTTACGTTTAAAACATTCTGCTTTATCAACAGATGTTAGCACCTCAAATTGAGTGAAGAGAGGAAGGATAGAAGATTTGCTCTTATTTAACACACTATTACAGAGCCGCCAGTAGTCGCATAATCCAAACTTATTAGAGGCTATATGATGCTGCATTCTATCAGCAAACAAAACCTTCTCCTAATTGTAAAAATGCTTGATTCCATTGAAGTTGAATTAAGAAGAATAAAAACTTGTGATTCCAACGGATGATTTATTGTTAAAACATATTTCGGAAAGCTTTTGCAATCCTTGATTACTTTTGAGAAATAAATGAAATGGTGACTATGCTACATTCGAATTACAAGCTTTTATTCGTTTTAAAACCTTCTCTCTGAGATCATATTTAGTTATTTCGAGCAGTCATAAATAGGTGTCTCTTGTGATTGGAATTATCATGCTGGTACACCTGGAAAAAGTGATTCCTATGGGCTCTAGTGGCTGAACACGCTGGTGTGAACCAAGGAGAAGATTGTGGTTTCACCTGATATTTGCAGGAGGATACAAAAGCATTAATGTCAGCTTTAACCCAAGGTTAATATCATTCCAAGAAACATCTTGAATAAAGTCACAAAATGAATTCCAGTCAGTACACTAGTAACAAAGTGATTTACCTGTGGAGCAATGTGTTTTTATCAGCCTGGCTTTAGCTAGGTGTACACATTTGACTTTATCCACTGCAATTCTTTAGAGGCTTATAGAACTTGATTTTTTTTTTTTTTTTTTTTATTTTTTTATTTTATTTTTTTTTTTTTTTAAATTGTGACTAGTGAAATCTGTGGTTTAATAGTAATATTAAAAAAAAAAAACCTTAACCTCATATAAATGTCAGCTTCAGTGTAACTAATTTGTCTTTGAATAATTAATATTATTTTTTATTTTTTTTTTTTTCGCCCCTTCGAAATTATTGCTAATTTAATGTCTCCTAAAACATCTCATAATTTGAAATCCCTATTTTTGAACTAGTATTATTTGTTTTTCTTATTTTTAACTACTTTATCCTTAAAATAATTACAATCCCTTTGTGAACAAACAAATGCTCTAAAGTAGAATCTGATTCAATAATTTTGGTATTTTTGTAAAAGAAATGAAACTGATTTTGTTAGAGTAAATAGTTGGATGGAAGTTAGTATATGTGTTTTCAATATAGTCTTTGAAATATTTGCTTCCGAGAAGATCTGGAAAAATATATTTGCTGTTTGTTATTGTCAAAATAAATTTGCCACACTGTATGGGTGAAAATTTTTTTTTTTTTTTTTTTTTTTTTTTAGATGTTGAACCAAATATTCTTAAAATTCAATTATTTGAATTGTTTATACACACACACATTCTTACCTTCAAATAGATGGACTTAGATGAATTTTTTTATTTTAAAGAAAATCCACCCAGGTCGTCACTCCTTTTATTTAATATTCAAATGAAACACTTTGGCCTAGAATTTTTGCAGCCTGAATTAATGGGTGGGTGGAAATTTTCTTAGTATTTAATAAAAAATATATTTTAAATGGTATTTATTTTCATATACTGGCCTGAGTATTCTGGAAATTTTATTAAACAGCATATTTTTCTTTTTAGTAAGATTTCTCAAATATTCAAGCTGGTAGAAGAAATATATATATAAAAATGCATGTATATTATTATTAAAGAAATTGATGTTTTATTTTGTAGGTGGGACAAACTTTCTTTTATTTCCAATGGTAAGTCAATTTTATTATTAAAATTGTGTTAATTTATTTAAGTTCTAAAATACTAGGAACTTAAATATATAACTTAATATTTATTTTACATTAATACTTAAGTGTGTTATTTAAATAGCAATAGATTTAAACTCAACTATTAGACTTTTAAGGGAAAATCATTTTTTTTCCTAGTTATTAGGGAATATTGTCTCAAGCATTTGCAGAACTAAATTTTCAAATTTTAGTTGTTCATTTGATTGCCTAATCAGTATTCATTTTATTTTGTGTAATCTGTTTTTGATCAAATATCTAAATCAGGATTTTATCACCAGGAAAGAAAGGCTACTGTTTGTCTTGAGTTCTGGAAAAACTACAAATTTTTTAAACTTTTGTCAGATTTTTAAACTTTAAAGGATTGGTTTAATAAATGCATTTTACTTATGTATATATAATCTCAAAAATGACAAATACTAAGACAATAAAAAAACTTTAATAGAAAACAAACTAAATCTTGAAAGAGGAATTTACTGTATCACCTGTAATAATTTCCAAACATAAATATATCAGATTCATCAAGGAATTTAAAGAAAATATATGAATGCAAAAGGATATTTTTACAATCCACTAAATACTATTTCTTTCAGAATTTTTTTAAGTTGATAAATGTGTATTTAATTTAGTATTTTCTTAAGCCCCCCCCCATATGATGCTGTACATTTTGAAGATCTCAAAAATAGTTTACTTGCTCAATGAAAACAGATAAGGATTATCTTTCCATTTTTAAAAGATTTTCCTGTAAAAATATTTGGTAAATATCACAATGTATTTGTTTTTCATGTTTCAGGGACATCTTGCTACTTGAAGCTGGTTTCCTTTCAATACTTGTAGCTCCTCTAAACATGTATATTTTAATTTGGAAAACTGTGCCCTACCATCATCATGACAATATCTCACTTTTTTTGGTAAAGTGGTTGCTTTTTCGATTGATGTTTGCATCAGGTGTGGTCAAGCTGACTAGTATGTGTCCCACCTGGTGGGGACTAACGGGTAAGTATATAAATTGCTTTTTCTTTGTATAGCATAGTTTGGATTTTTTTTTTTTTTTAAATTTTAATTATGAAATGAAAAATTTTTCTATAATGTTGCTTGGATTTGATCAATATTTTAGCAAGTTTGCTGAATTTTAATGGTTATTTTATATTTTTTATGTTAATATTATTTATATTATTAATTATTACACAATTTTATATTAAAACCTATTTTCACTGAATATTCAAAAAATGAGATTAAAAATTAAAATGTTTTTTTTTTTTGTTTTTTTTTATTGGCAAAAGTTTTATTTTTGCTTTATGATAAAGATTTTGATTAGAGAAAATTAAGTTGCGGTTTTAATCTCTTAAAATATTTTCTATTTCAGCTCTTAATTACCACTTTGAATCTCAGGTACGTCATTTTTATTATGTCTAAATAGTTAAATCTGTACACAAGTAATTCTAAAAAATGAATCAATATTTGATTCATAAGGCTTTTGAGTAATATTTTTCTTTTGAACGACCTTTATAATGAAATGTAACATTCTTAAATAGACTGCATGATTGCAGATTACCAATTGAAGCTTTATTTTTACATTGTCATTAGTATAAAAATTGGTGTTATTTTAATAAGTATATCCAAATATGTTCTAATACATTATTATTATTTCTGTCTTTTAAATCTGTAAATGTTTTTCTTTTTGAAAATACCAGAAGCAACAAGCGCTGTATTTTATAAAATTTTTCTATTTCATTAAAAATGATTACATGTCTTTTGCTTGAATTAAAAAAAAAAAAAAAAAATTATGCATTTAACCTCAAGATAATAATTTTCAAATTTGGGAATCAAATTCTAAACATTCTTGAAATGTCAATTTACAGCATGCCATCTGAAACCTTTTCATTTTTACAGTGCATTCCCACACCATTGGCATGGTATGCGCATCATCTCCCACCCTGGCTTCTCAATCTGGGAGTGACTGCCACGTTTTTGATTGAAATTGTGATTCCATTTCTCTTCTTTGCACCAATTCGGCATTTACGAAGATTTGCTTTCTATACACAGGTAAGCATTGCTAATAAGCCTGTATTTGTACACAGGTAAGTGTTGAATGCTTATCTGATTATAAATAAATCGGTATTTATTTTAATTAAAATCTCTGATTATTTAATGATTCTCAAAGTCCTATAAAAGATAGCACAGTAAATGGATGTTCAGATGAATGTCTTTTATTTACTTATTTTAATCAATTCATCCCAAGCAAGGTGATAACAGTAATGCAAAAAGGGTCTACTGAATAAGGAAAAGTTGTTAGAAGTATAGAATTGAAGTAGAATTTAGAAGGAAGAGGAAACAAGGGATAAACCTCTACTCCTGTTCAAAAGACCAGGGGAGGGGAGTGTGAACTAAATGACAGGGGAACATATCAACTCATAAGCTGACTTAGACATTTTAAATATTTTTTTCCTTACCATCAGGTAATTTTAGATGAACCTGGTTATGCTTGGCAAATTCTCAGTTTTGAACTTCATAGTTAAAATATAACCCTCTTGAGAATTAGGAATTTCAGTTATTTTCTATACATTAAGGTATCTCGAGGTGATGTTACACACATAATTTTATTTAGAATAAACAATATATTTAACATGGGATGCACATATACAGACAGTACATTGCATTATATGGAGACCTTTTGAATAAATGTTGAACTTATAAATCTTCAAGAATTCTAGTTATGTTCATTTAAAGAAGGAAAAAAAAAAATTCTTTCTTGCTCCATACTTAGTGTGTGTGTGTGTGTGTGTGTGTAAATTCAAGCATAAAGGGGGATGCAGGTTTCAAACCCTGTTGGCAGGCACATTTTCACACTTTATAATTAAAAACAAATTGCATCTACCTAAACACATGTATCCACTAAAATGTTTAAGCAATAAGAAATAACCAGCCCTTTTGTCACAGTGGTCAGTAATCATCAGTTACCTAGGAAGGTTTTGTGTTTGGTCATTTTGTCCAAATTAGTCAGATGAAACTGTTTCCTTTGACTAAAGAAAAAACTTTTTTTTTTTTTTTTTTTTTTTTTTTGTTGTTTTTTGAATTTCTAAATTTTTTCTTCAAACACTTTTTTGAATAAAGGAGAACTATGCACCAAAATGACTGAATTCTGGTTTGTATTTTGATGATTGTACCATGAGACGAAGATAAACATTAACAGTCTAGAAGGATGAAGAATATTGACATCAAAAACCAGTTTATTCCAATTAGTATTGCAATGAACCATTTCATAAACTTGAATTCTATTTGTATGACTAGCTTAGAATATGTGGGTAATATAAGGGTTACAATCACAGAAAGTGGATTTGGTGAACAGTTCTGAATGTGTCTGTTATATTCACTTTACATTAATGCACTTGGAGAAAGGCATGGATCCATCACCCCCCCCACCACAACACCTAAGGTGAACTGACTTCTTAAGTGTTAGGTGGCAGCTAATCTATGAGAAAAAAAAACTCCAAGTTTGAAACCATGGAGAAGGCAACTGTAAACCATAATATTTCCTGAGAAATCATGGCAATTCAGATGTTAAAGAAAAGGAAGTTGTGGTGTGGCATAACTCCTTGTGTCCTGAAGGATCATGGCCTTAAAAAAAAAAAAATTAGTTTGATAATCAATATTTTACATTGCATACCGGAGTTATTTTTTTTTATATCATTACATTTCTTGAAATAACTAACTTTTAAGCTGTTTTAGAAAAGGTTTAATTATCAGATTTTCATAAAGTCTTGCATAACATTTAATATTATGTAATTGATTGAAATTGTTGTTTTCTTGTAACTTAATTTAATTTGTATTTCAGGTGCTGCTCCAAATTGGCATCATTTTGACTGGAAACTACAATTTTTTCAACCTTTTGACAATTACTCTTTGTGTTTCTCTGTTGGATGATGATTTCTTTCAAAAACGAAAAAGTAAATATTTTTTTTTAATCTTGTTGAGATTTTTGAGATGACTAATTATATATTTTTCTGTTTGGACCAGCATGTTAATGTTGGTTTTTATATTCTTATTGCAGGCGTTTTACCATCTGTGTTCTTTAGGCATTTCTTGTCATACTTGGCCAGTTCTGGGTATGATGATAAACTACATCCGGCAGGAAGACCTCTGGTTGGGAGACCAGAGGTTCTGAAGAATGTAGAATTACTTAATTGCTGTTGTTTCCAGGCCACCCCACACCTGACCTGGGGTGGTAGTACCTGTTAGGTTCTCAGCTATGATCAAATAGTGAGCCCTCCCCAAACGGGGGGAAAAAAAAAAAAACACTATGAAAGTATAAAAATACCAGCTATACATTTTTATATTAAAAAAAAAAAATTTATCAACAATACATTTTATGTGGTTCAAGGCATACAACTGTCCAAAATATTTAGATTTTGGCATTAAATAACCCATAGAGGTGTTGATATGCTGCTAAACAAAATCAATCAATCAACCAACCAACATGAAAGAACTCTTTCATGACATTAATCCATATAATATCCTACAGTTTCTTTAAATCAAACTGTATTCCAAAATATGACTTCAACATAAAACATATATATCACCACCTAGTAATTATGTCCACACACACACACACACATATATATATATATATATATATATATATATATATATAAAGCTGAGTATCATCTACCATGTATTCAATTGTGAAAGCAGAATAACATTTTTATTACTTCTCAAAGCTCCCAAGAAAATTAAGTTTCAGCATTAAATGACCCATAAGTAGTTGATATGCCATTAAATAGACAATCAGTCAATGAATCATCATACTTGAAATTTTTAGCTAAACTCTTTATTCAATCTATGATGGTAGATTGTTCTTATTCCACTTAGCATGCTTAGGGGATGTAACTCGTATCAATTAATGTTAACCTGTCTTATTGACTTTTTTGTCATTTGTCTATTTCTTTTGATGATCCAGAATTTGTCATTTTCTTTATTTGACCTTACCAGCTCTAGAGATTGAAATTGCAACTGTCAAGGAACCAGATATATTGTAATCAATGTGGAATTTTGACACATAAATGCCACTGTCTTAAGTATAGAGATTAGCTTTAAGGATTGAAAATGTCACCACTGGATAGTACCTGAGATTCAGGAAGGTTGTGAGTTCAGTCCTTTGATTTGGCATTGTAAACTTGCATACTCTGGTCAATTGAAAGAAACAGACAAGTAACACAAAGGTGAATAAGACAGGTGAATATTAACTAATGTAGAAAGTAGAATGAGTACAATCTACTACCATCGATTGAATAAAGGGTTCAGTTCGAATTTCCAAGGAAATTAGTGAATCTAATGAAACACCAAAAGAAGTCCTGAAGATAGAACAACTGAAATATGAGGCTAACAGTAAAGTTGACTAGACTGGTCTGAATAATAAGACATTAATAGTTTCATTATTAACATTTTAATTTTCATTGCAACTTGGTGGAATCATGCCATTAGGTACTCTGAATAGAAATATATATTTTTTATTTTTGTTTATCATATTGCTATTGATTAGATTAAGCACATCAAGTTGTGAATATTTTTTTTTTTTTATTTTTTTTATATAAATTTTATAGAAATGAAAAATGCAATTTTTTAAAATCATACTGCTATTAAGAACTTCAATAAGTAATATTAATATTTTGTTTTTAAGTCTGTAGTGGAGGTGGGGGGATTAATTTACAATGAATTTGTTATAAACTGAACCCACTCCTATCAACTTATATACAGGGTGTTTCAAAAAGAATACGCAAAAATCATCCCGTGACGTCTCAAAAACGAAAAAAATTACAACTCTCTAGCATGAACACATGTGTTGTATATACATTCAAGTTTCATTTCATGTTTTTATAAGTGCTCAATGTGGCACCACCGGCAGCGCGGACAAAATCAAGCTGATATGAGAATTCCTCCCAAACGCGCCTCAGCATGTCACGGTCCACCGTGTTGATTGCAGCTGTTATTCGATCTTTCAAGTCATCGATACTTGCTGGAAGTGCTGGAACATAAAGTTGGTCTTTAACATATCCCCACAAGAAAAAGTCACACACAGTGAGGTCTGGGGATCTGGCAGGCCAAGCACAGAGAGCAAGGTCTTTAGCACCTCTCTTCCCAATCCATCGCCGAGACACGTTTTCATTCAGATAAGCTCTAACCCCGAGATGCCAATGGGGTGGTGCTCCATCTTGCTGAAAAATGAAGTCATTCGAATCTGCTTACAGTAAAGTGAATAGTCAGTTTTAGAGCATTTCGAGATAGGTTTGTCCTGTAACGGTGTTTCCTTCAAAGAAAAAGGGATCATAGACCTTGTCTTGACACACAGCACAGAAGACGTTCATTTTAGAGGAATCTCTTCCATGCTCAACAGTTTCATGTGGGTGCTCTGTTCCCCAAATGCGCATATTGTGATGATTGACTGTGCCTCTCAAATGGAAATTTGCTTCGTCACTAAAAACTAAACGTGAAAAGTTTCATCACCTTCCTCCATCTCCAGCATTGACTCACAGAATGTCCTCCGCATTACCTTGTCATCATTAGTAAGTGCTTGGACGAGGCTTAGTTTGTATGGTTACATGTGTAATCGTCTCTTTAACACACGCCAGACAGTGGTATGAGGGATGGCAAGCTGAAGACTTGCTCGACATACGGACTTGCGTGGGCTGCTCTCAAATACATCATGAATCCTCTCCACTTGCTCCTCTGTAACACATGGTCTTCTAGGAGTCTTTCCTTTGCACAGGTACCCACTCTCTTTAAACTGTCTAACCCACCATCGAATGCTCTCACGATCGGGCGGATCAATGCCAAATTCTGTTCTGAAAGCATGCTGCATCGTGACAATGGCGTTTGTTTTTGCGAACACAATCACGCAAAACGTCTTCTGCTGAGAAGTCGCCATTTTCATTGATCTTCCCACAATTCAGCTGCACTGGAAGTTATACTAACGACAGCGGTGAAACTGACACCCAATCAAACTTTGATAACTACTCTATCAAATAACCACTGATTCAATCCACTACAATGCTATAGACCTGAAAAAACAGCGTAATGATTTTGGCGTATTCTTTTTGAAACACCCTGTATATATAAAAACTAGCATAGACAATTTCATCTCTTCTGAGAAATACTTGATCCTCTCCATGATTTCTACCAGCTTGCTTAGCTGCTAAAGCACACAGAAACTACTATTTTTGGATATACCAATGTGACGACTCATCACAACAGGTGCCTTTTTGTTACTACTTGTAATAAATGACAATGAGTCCTCAAGGGAGCTAAGTCCCTGTTTGCCAAGATAATGAGGCACTGCATAGCCTCTAACAACTTTGGCTCTCATGATTATTGGCGGTTCTGTAATAGGACATTAAATAAATGTAAGGTTTCTATCCCTCCCCTTTTCAATCAATTTTAGGTGTTATCCTCCTTGGCTGATAAAGCTGAATACTTTGCCTGTAAATTCTTCTCAAACTCTACTCAACTGAAGTACTCCTACCAAACTTCTCTCTTAGAACTGCTTCTCTGCTGAGTGATATGCATATAACTCCATCCATGGTTTCTGCTATCATCTCTAACCTAGATCTCCACAAAGCATGTGGACCCAATGTTATCACTCTAATAGTCATTAAGAAGTGTCCTCCTGAACTGGCTCCTGTTCTCTCTAAACTGTATCACAAATACCTTCTTGCCTGCTGGAAGTCATTGTCTGTTTCACTTTTTAAGAACTCTGGTGAACTGTTTGACCATTCCAACTATCAGCCTATTACTCTTCTACCTCTTTTTGGAAACTCCTAGAGGCTCTAATCAATGCTGAATTTGTTCATCTCTCATCAAATGGCCTTTTCTCGGACAAGCAATATGGCTTTCATTTCTTCAGGTCAATTGATGTTGTTCTGATGATAATTGTGGAAAGTCTATCATGATCTAGACAAAATACGGGCTGTATCATGCTCTAGACAAAATACGGGCTGTAGCATTGAACATCTCAAGATTTTGACGGGGTCTGGCATACTGGTCTTCTGAAAAGTTATGGTATCTCTAGACACATTTTTAAGCTGATCCAGTCTTTCCTATGAAATCATGAAGTGAAAGTTATCCTGTATGGCCACTTTCATACTAATGCACGTGTCCCCCAGGGCTCCATCCTTGGTCCTACACAGATTTTAATTTTCATTAACAACCTTCCCAATGACATTAGCTCTCAACTTGGCATCTATGCAGATGACACGACCATTTACTTTTGCCTCAATAGTAAGGCTGATCAGTTCAACAAGGCCAAAATGGTTGTGTTGTGTGAAACAGTTTTTATTTCCAGAATCTATCTTGCATATCTATAAGTCTACCGTTTGTCTATGCTTAGAATATTGCTGCCACATATGGTCTAGTGCCCCTGCTATTTTCCTTGAGCTCTTTGATAAGATCCAAAGAATTGGCAATATTATTGGTCATGATTTGGCAGTTAGGCTTCAGTCACTTACCCACCACTGTATAGTTGCCTCTCAATGACTTTTATATAAGTACTTTCGTGGTACTTGTTTGGATGAGTTCTTTGCTATGGTACCTAGACTTTGAATTTTAGTGCAGTACTAGACTGGTGTGTAGAGATCTCATCAATTTACAGTTGAACTGGCTAAATGTAGCCATAAGTTATGTGTTAAGTTTTTCTTGCACTTCTTGCTTGTGGAACTTCGTTCCAGCTCTATGCTTTCCAGCCAATTTTAATCAGCAAAAACTTGAATGCAATGACAATTGCTATCTATTCATTATTGTTTCTGTTCCTAATTCTTTCACACCCTGTAACCCCTTGTGTTTTAGTGGCTTTATTACCCTGTTTGGGGTGATACTGATTTAAAAAAATAAAATTATTTGTGATCTGGAGTGCTTAAGTTATTATAATATGGAAAAAAATATTGTACAAAATAATTTTCTTTAACTCAGGCCATCAATTAATGAGTGAGAAGACTGAAATAAAATGCAAGCTCTCTGTGGGGGATTCAAATTCATCCTTTTTACTCCAAGGAAGCTTAGTAAATATCCAGCTGTTTTAGCTGCTTAGCTACAATAACTTGGTGTTATAAGGGGACAAATCTTCTGTATAACTTGTCACTTGATTTCAACATCATATTTGTTTTCAGTTTTATGCTAACTATATGAGTAGCAGCAATGTTTTGCTATATAAAAATAAAAAAAATTTTTGTAAATTAATTTTGATATGATTACCTCCCTTTTATCATGTTTGTCCTCCATGATGTAAAACAATTGAACAGGATTGAAGAAGCTAAACAGTTAATAAAAGAAAGTGGAGAATTAACTTCTGCTTATTGTTTGTAATGTTCTTCTAATTTAGTCAATCATTGACTTAAGAAAATAAAGCATTTGTTCATTGTCAAATCAATCCTTTGCATAAGTGACTGCTTTAATAAAAAGTTAATCTCTCTCATAAAAAGGCTCTTAATTGCTGCGTTAGTACAAAAATTAAGACATAAAAATGAATTTAAAGATAAGATTTCGGATCTTTCTTAATCCAAATTCTTTTCATATAACTATCAGACTTCAACTAAGCTGTTACTCTTCAGTATTTTATGTAGTCTATCAGATGAATTTCACTAGCTAGATTTGTAAATTTCAGTTTATAGAATATCTAGTTTCACTATTTTCACTTCATTTACATATATAAGAATTGTTTAAAATAAGTGAGCATGCTATCTGCACACACACACAATTAGTTAATGTTTAATTTATATAAATGGCCTTGTGACAATAAAATATTAGTGTCTATTTTGACAGTATTGAATTTTTATATTGTGGCATGAAATTTTGTACTTTTTATTATTATTAGGCCGTCGTTCGAAACAAAAGAGCTTTTGGTATCGAGTAGCTGATTGGGTATTGACAGTTGCAGCATATGGTTACCTCATCTACATTCTTGTAAAATATTTCAGTCTTAGTTTTGGACCTGGCTATACTTCTCTCAGAACAAAGATTGGTGAGTTTATCCTTTTTAGCTTTCTTTTATATTTTCTTGTTTGTATAATGCAACTTTGGAAATTAACTTTAAAAATTTTTTTTTTTTTTTTTTTTTTTTTTTTAACTAAATTGGATTGCTTATGAAAGAATTCAAGTTAATGAGGTGATTTTCTTGGAGATCAGTGACTGTTGATTTTAAAAGGGACCCTACGTAATATCTTTGAAACTCGTCAGCATAAAAAACATATTTTGGCAGTGTATGTTAGTGACACTCTTCCTTGAAATAATTTCCTTTTTGCTACAACTTACTGTAAATTTCTTAATTATGTATTGATTTTCTAAGCATTGCTTAGATGTGGCACAAGACCGAAACTATGTGGCACCCAATGAGGATCGAACTCACTATTCAGTCGTCTCAGTTTTTGTGAGACAAGCTTGCTAACCATTACACCATGCCAAGGTGCCCAAATTTCTTAATTATGTCACTGCAGCTGTTTGTGTTGAAAACCAACAAACTCTTCAAAAACAATCTGTTTGGTCAGTGAGTAAGATTTTGGACAGTATCAACCAAAGAACTTTTTAGCACCTCCTCATCTCTTATAAATAAACAAACACCTTTTTGGAAATTTAATTCCCTTTATTTTTTTTTTTTTAACCTGCCTTTACCTTAAGTAACATAATTATTATGAGTAAGTTTTTAATCATCTTGTTCAAAAATGTGTCAGTGAAGTTTCCTCCTGGGTGAAAGCCAGCCTTGATGCTTTCATCACAGCAGAGAAATAACCAGTGAAACCCTGATTAGCTCCTTGGTTCTCACCTTTATGCTCAGCTACTATATCCCACAGGAATCACTTCTTCCAGCTGTATGAGAGTGACAGGCGTCTCTTTTTTTCATTGCTCCTAATGAGTACAAGTGTGTCCTTAATGAGACAAAGTTACTGTTTGTTGATAAAATAAAATATGTAGCCTCTCAAAAGTTTGGTTCCAGAGATTACTGGCATGGTGAGCAATAGCAAATTCTTGTCTCAATAGCAAATCCATCAGATTGAATAAAGTAAACCTGGCAGCTGCTCCTGAAAAGGACCTCCAATCAGTGGTTAACTGGAGCAAGAAATGGCTTGTAAATTTTAAGACCTCTCAAACAAACCAGCTTTCATTTAACCACTATAGAGAACCTTTTCTGCCTGTCATCAGCATGGCTGATGCTAAACTCCAGGAAAGCAACACACTGTCTTCTTGGCCTTATGGTTTTACTGACATGAAGTGGAGCAAATATCTTGAATCGATAGCTGTATCTGCTGCAAGGAAAGTTGGGTTACTATCATACCAGACAATTTTTCTTGTGGGAATCCATCTTGCGAATTTACATCTTGCATTATCTCGTCTGGTGCTCCTGCTGTGCATCTAGAGACTCTTGAAAAAATCCAAAGAAGGATTTGTAATTTAATCATTCCTGACCAGACATCTTGACTTCAGTCACTTTCTCACTGACATAATGTGACTTCCCTCTGTTTTTCTACAAATATTTTTATGGCAACTGATCTGACAAGGTTTTTTCCCTGGTTCCTTGAATATATGAAATTAAGTGTCTTATTAGATTGGCATCTATTGAAATAGCTAAATGCAGCCACCACTTTTATTCCAACAGTTTTTTTTTTCTCACACTTCTCACCTGTGGAACTCCCTTCTGTCTCCTTGCTTACCTAATGACTATAATCTTCAAAAATTTAAATGCAACATCAGCCGCCATGTGTCTTCTTAAACCCCCATTCATCATTTGTCCTTTCTTCAATCCTCCCTATTCACAGACTTCTCTTTCACTTTCATTCCCTGTAACTGCCTTTTGTCCTAGTGGCATTACCACCTTGCTTGGGGTGAAATGATGAAAAGATAAAAAATAAGACTAAATTGTAATATAATTACCTGCAAGAGCCTGTACTTGAATTTATTAACAGTGAACAAAGTTTTGTTTTTTTTATTTTTTTTGCTTCTCTCTTTTATTTTTTTTGCTTCTCTCTTTTATTTTTTTTGCTTCTCTCTTTTATTTTTTTTGCTTCTCTCTTTTATTTTTTTTGCTTCTCTCCTTTATTTTTTTTGCTTCTCTCTTTTTTTCTTTTTGCCTCTCTCTGTTTTTTCTCTCTTTTTTGCCTCTCTGTTTTTTTTTTTTTTTGCCTCTCTCTGTTTTTTGCTCTCTCTCTTTTTTTGCCTCTCTCTGTTTTTGCCTCTCTCTGTTTTTGCCTCTCTCTGTTTTTGCCTCTCTCTGTTTTTGCCTCTCTCTGTTTTTGCCTCTCTCTGTTTTTGCCTCTCTCTGTTTTTGCCTCTCTCTGTTTTTGCCTCTCTCTGTTTTTGCCTCTCTCTGTTTTTGCCTCTCTCTGTTTTTGCCTCTCTCTGTTTTTGCCTCTCTCTGTTTTTGCCTCTCTCTGTTTTGCCTCTCTGTTTTTGCCTCTCTCTGTTTTTGCCTCTCTTTTTTGCCTCTCTCTGTTTTTGCCTCTCTCTTTTTGCCTCTTTTTTTTTCTCTCTCTTTTTGCCTCTCTGTTTGCCTCTCTTTTTTTTGCCTCTCTCTGTTTTGCCCTCTCTGTTTTTGCCTCTCTCTTTTTGCCTCTCTCTTTTTTTTACCTCTCTCTGTTTTTGCCTCTCTCTTTTTGCCTCTCTCTGTTTTGCCTGTTTTTGCCTCTCTCTTTTTTGCCTCTTTTTTGCTCTCTCTGTTTTTGCCTCTCTCTTTTTGCCTCTCTCTTTTTTGCCTCTCTCTTTTTTGCCTCTCTTTTTTTTGCCTCTCTCTTTTTGCCCTCTCTCTGTTTTTGCCTCTCTCTGTTTTTGCCTCTCTCTGTTTTTGCCTCTCTCTGTTTTTGCCTCTCTCTGTTTTTGCCTCTCTCTGTTTTTGCCTCTCTCTGTTTTTGCCTCTCTTTTTGCCTCTCTCTCTTTTTGCCTCTCTCTGTTTTGCCTCTTCTGTTTTTGGCCTCTCTCTCTTTTTTGCCTCTCTTTTTTTGCCTCTCTCTGTTTTTGCCTCTCTCTGTTTTTTTTCTTTTTGCTAGAAACATGTTTAAAGGAGTTATAATTTCAGAAAAACTTTGCTGTAAAATAAGTTGAATTATTTCCTAGTTTGTCCTGTTTCAAAAGTGATTGAAATATCAGATCTTCAATGATGGATGACAGAAAAATTACTTGGCTTTGTGTATACATCTTGTTCAGAAGGATAACTTTTCTTTTTTTTAATTTTTTTTTTTTTTTTACACACAAGTATAATCATTTGATGTAAATATACATTGAGGTTCTGTTTTTTTTTTTTTTTTTTTTAAATACAAGTAAATTCTAGTGAGTCCTGTAAAACTTCATCTTCATCTATTAGAAAGCCACAATAAAGACTTTTGATTTCTCATTTTCCTCAAGTCTTTATAATCTTAAAATTGGTTATTAGTTACCTTTTATTTTGTAAAGGATGCATTGACAAAGTCAGGTGTTCCTATGATCTATATAGATATTTGAAAAAGGGAATAATATTAATATTTGGCACTTTCATTTGTTGACATTTTTTTTTTTTTTTACAGGATATCAAGATCTTGGGTTTTTATTATCAGCTGCATTCATACAATATAACTAGTTCTATATTTGGATGCTCTATTTTTAAAGAAATTTTGTTGCTTTCTGCCTAAAGCTGTTTACATAATATGAAATATAAGATTAATACAAATATACAATTTATCACTTAGCTGACTGAATGTTAAATTCAGCACTTGAACTCCAAGTTTTGTAGACAAACCCTTTTTGTAATTGTTCACTTTGCTTGTCTGGAGGTTTCAGCAATTGAAGTTTTATGGTTGAAATTTTGTTGGTATGATTTATTTTTTTAAAAAATAGAAAATCTAAAATTCCTTTGTTGGTTATACGAAGAGTCTCACTGTTTGTTACCGATACATAATAATGCAATGACTATTTAGTATATTAGAGTATCTATTGGTTAGTATTATAGAATATTGGTAATATTCTTTTTGTCAACCTTTACCACGAATCCTACAAAATATTTTCTTCTACATATGATCACTGAATTTCTTGATTTTTTTTTTTTTTTTTTTTTTTTTTAAATATTGTAGATTTTAAAATTTCCAAATGTCTCAGTTTTTCTTTTTAAAAAAGAGTTTAAAATCGTATGCACATCTAAGTGTGTGTGTATATATATATATATATATATATATATATATATATATATACACACACACACACACTTAATGTACAGGGTGCGATGAGTAAATTGTCACCATTTTATGTCTTTTGATTTTGCCGACTGCACAGTAGGGTCAGTTGGAAACTGTCTGTAAGAAAGAGAGCACCATGATGCAATTCACTCTGTCAAAAATTTGAAAACATGCTGTACTATTTGGCAATTGTGCCAGAAGCTCCAATACAGACATTCCAGAGTGTTTTAGTGTCAATCTGAGGACAGTGCAGAGGATTCAGAAAGAGTTGGATGATATATCCAGTAAACATCATGGTGTTTGGAATGGTCACTAGTGATGATGATGATGTTATTCCTCCAGGACCTTACTCAACACTGAAGCCTACATCAAGTGGCTTGAGGAGGTAGTGCTATGCTGGGTTAAGAGTGTGACTGCTTGAAGACCCTATGTTTGGCAACAGGACTCTGCACCATGCCACACAAGCAGGATTTCTGCAAACTCCATTACCTGGCCACCTAAACCCGACTGCAACACCCTTCATTATTATGAGTGGGGTGCAGTTGAGTGAGACGCCAACAAAACTCCTTGTAATACCAAAGATGAACTGAAGGCAAGGGTTATGTCAGCATTCACCAACTTAAACAAGGAGAGCAGCCAGAAGAGTTAAAGGAGATTCCTTAATTGTCTGGAGGCCATAGTTGAATCCAATGGTAGTTTTTTTTTAATACATTTACTCTTTAGTATTTAAAGATATTTTTGTGTAAATTTGGTAAATATATCTGTTAAAATGAGATTTCAATGCTATTTTTATTTTTGTTATTTTGACGACAATTTATCCATCGCACCCTGTACATATCAATTCAGTTATTGTCCTCTCAATTGTAAACTCTTTTTATATTTAGGTCATGAGATAGAAAAAAAAAAATAGTTTAAATCTTGTAAGCAGAAAACAGACAGAAACTTTTGAGCAATGAAGATTTATTATTTTACTCACTTCTCTTTATTTTTAGAAGGTTGCCACACCCAATAAAATAGGAAGATGAGGATTCTATCTGTTTCTTGTCTTTCTCTTACTCTGGTGCCATTGCAGAATTAACTTCCTGCATATGCTCCATTAACATTAAACTGTTGTTTAAGTCAGAACCAGGATATATATATATATATATATATATATATATATATATATAAAATATTACACATATATTTTTTTATAAATTAACTATGGGATAGTGTGTGTGCGCACACCAGGGTGGATATAAGTGAATATTTTTTCTCCTTTGTTGTTGATCATTGTATATAATGAAAATATTTTGTATAATAGGCTGGAGCAATTGGAGATTTAACATTTTATTTCTCTGCTATTAATATTTAATTGTAACATTTATATATCAAAGCAATCAAGAATACTGAACACTTGTCTAGGCATTGCAGATTCATAGAATTACAGATATGGAAAGCTTATATATAAAATGGTGCAGCCACTTGTATCCGAGAAAGCAGTCTACTAGGGTTGCTAGCTAATCCCTGTTGCAGATGTCTGTTCAGGCACATTTGTATTTATTCAACACTCACAGTGCCCACCTGTGGTTTATACTGCAGCTACAGAACTGTAACTATCTAGCATAATCAACAGTCTGAACAAGGCCAGCACACTCAAACCCTCAGTCATGATGACTTGTTGCTTTGTGCTAGCACAACACCCAATGACTCAGTCAACCAGATTTCACTTAGAAGGCTTGGGTCAACACGTGGTATGATTTTTAGGCACTTTCTAATGGTGTCATGCTGGGAACGACTCTTCCCGACAGCTAATATCAAGACGTCACCCTCCTGACAAATCGGCCCTGGTGAAATTCAAACTTGGTCTCATGGTCAGAAAGTGAATGTTCTAACCACTCAGCCCATATATATATATATATATATATATATATATATATAAGCAAAAATTTGACTCTACAGATTTAAAAAAAATGCAGGAAAGCCTTTTTTTTTTTTTTTTTTTTTTTTATAAAGGTTCCCTTTTGGCTAACCCATCAGAAGAAGAATATGTTGGTAAATATTAATTGACCAAAAAAAGCAACAATTTGCACTGAGAGAATGAGGAGGAGAGAAAAAAGAACCACAACTAAAATACATTTTTATTAATAAAAACGAGGCGAAAAGAAAAAGGGAAATATACAAGCAAAAATAGCTAATGTAAATGGTTCCAAGTGAGTATAAAATGGGGGCGGGATTTCCATATATATATATATATTTGTGTATATTGAATAATTAGAAATTTGTGAATAGATAACTATCCTCAAAAATAACATTTTTAATGTTTTTTTTGTTTTTTTTTTTAAGGGGGACATTATTAAAAACTAGAATACTGTTTTTAATGTTTAAAATATTTAAAGTAATGAATTAGGTGGAGGTCAAATGGACTAAATGAATTTCTCTTTTGTTTTCACTGCTGTGAAGAGAGTAAGCAAGTGATTCATTTAAATTGTGTACATGAGCAAGCAGGTCAGCCATACAAACTGACAAGAAGGTCTATTCATTTTATTAGAAGATTGGCTAATGAAAATATCAGGAAATCTGTTGTGGAAGTTAAAGAAGTCTGTATTGTGAGCATTTCTACAATATGATCAACTTACATGTCAAATGACCTTGTGGGAGACCATTACAAAAATCTAGAGATAAAGAGGCCTGTTTAGTTTTTGCAAGAGAGTAAGGATGAAATGCTCTATTTTTCTACAGTTTATTCCAGTCAGATGAAATGAGAGAAAGAAAAAAGAAAAGAAAAGAAAAGCGACTTCAAACTCCCATTTGGTTTGAAGTTATGACAAAGTGTATAAAGAAAAGTGTTTGATATCAGCAGTTGAGCGGAAATGTCATGGTCTGATTTTTGTATGATTTTTTTTTTAATGGCACTGGTTAAGTTGTGGGCACATGGCTGTGTGGTTAGAACATTCACTTTCTGACCATGAGAGCCAGGTTCAAATCTCATCATGGTCAATTTGTCAGGAAAGTGACTTTTTGATGTTATCAGTCTCGGGGAGGTGATCCCAGTGTCTGGCATCTTTTGGAAAGTGTCTGAAAACCATACCACGAGTTAACGTAAGCCTTGTGAGATAACGTGTTCTCTCTCAAAAACTGTATCTAAGTTCTGCTCAGCATAGTTTCAGTATAAACCACAGGTTGGCTCTGTGAGTGTTATGTAAATGTGCCTGAGTAGGTGTCTGCAACAATGATTGGCTAGCCACCCTAGTAGATGAGCATTCTCGGTAAGTTGAAATTTCAACAGTAGAATCAGAAATGCTGAAAATGTTGCTTTTCCTTAAATGCTTCAAAAGATTTGTTTCAGCATGAAATTAAGTCGAAGCATTTCACTAAAAAAAAAAAAAAAGCAAACACGCAAATAAAATTCAACATTGCTCAATTGTGTTATTATGCTGAATGAAATCAAATCGAACACTTGTAGAATATATTGCAATAAGCAATAGATTAACGACTATCCAACAAAACCGATTTAAAAGAATGTTTATTGCTAAGAGTAGGAATCATTCCAGTGACATTGCATATCTACAGTTTCTATCATCAAAACCACAAGCCGTAATCGAGAATATTTATTCGATATAATTTACCTATTTATTTATATAAACTTTTTTCATTGAGGTATAAGCATTTTTGGATGGTAGCTAATTCATATTTTTGGTAATATAGTTTTAATATTGATTATATTATTCACAGTGGAACATTATGATCTGCTTATATTTTGTTTTCAAAATTAACTTTATAAAAAGTTGTTAGTAGTAGTAGTATACATATTTATAACAGTGTAATAAGTTCATACAACTACTATGAAAATTGTGTCAGTTCCTCAATTCAAATGGAGTCTGACATGGTTTTGGGGCTGAAGCATAATTGTGGAATTTTCAGATCCATATAGATACAATCACAGTGCTTAATTACTTTTTTAGTTTATGACAATCCAATTTTAATCAAGTATGCCAAAACTTCATCCTACTTTAATATATTTTGTCATTAAACCTTTTCTTATACATTGTCTGGGGGCATATCTTTGCACTTGTCCATCTTCCATTCATGTGCTTAGATTATATGTTAAAGCTATTTGATAGTCGGTAATTATTTGTGATTAATTATAGCATGGATATTTTAAACTAACTGGAAAGATTTTTTTTTTTTTTTTTTTTTTTCACTTATATTTATTCATTGTTGGGTCATTTGAATCTCTATATTTACTGTTGTATGCACTAAACTGATCTATTTTCAAGTGCACGAAGTGAACAGGTAATTATATAATCTGAGTTTTTTAGAACAATTTTAGACATGGTAATGATGCTTCTAAAAAATTGTAAACATTAATTTCTTTTTGTTCACTTTTTTTTTTTTTTTTTTTTTTTTTAGACAATAATATCACTAGACTATTAATTAATGTTAGTAAAAATTTTTAGGATATATTTATAAGTAATATATTGTTAGTTTCAGCATTATTGCCTAGGATATTAACCCATTACTTTATCTCACCTGTTGATTTCTAAGTTGGCTGATTTCCCTGTAAAACCCAAACTCTAATTCAGCCACCAAACCCAGCCAATGTAGTTTGACATTCATCACTAAGAATTTCTATTGAGAAATTGGGTTTTTGTGTACTTTTTTGACCAATTTACTTGTTTTGCTTTGTGATGCTTATTTAAAGTGGCTAACAGTGTTACTTTCATGTCTTTAGCCAGTGTTCTTAATATTTTGCATTTTTTTTCTGTTTATATTTGTAACAAGTTACTTTTCATGAGTCAATAAATTGTACTTATTATATTTTTAAATTTTTATTTAAACGTTTTTTTTTTTTTTTTTTTTTTTTTTTTTTTGTTGTGATATTCTTGCGAATGTTTTTCTCAATTATTTAAAACTGTTTTATTCGGTCAAATTGTTTTACAATTTTCAACATTATATTCCTATCACTGCAATATCTAGCTTCCTTTTGTGGTTAGATCTTTGATTCATGATAATCTTCATATATCTGAAATTAAAAAAAAATGCTGTTAACTAAAATATATAAGGTATGCTATATTTATTAGTAAAAGTGGTCAATATCAGAATGTATGTAAATATAAAAGTGGTGATTGTGTCATGCTTCAACACAATCTTCAGGTAATTAAATTTTGTTGAAGTTTGATGTTGACCTCAGCATTCACTAATATGTATTGACAATTGCTGAAAACCTAATGAGTGGACTGAACAATTACAAAAAGGTTAGTTTATGAAACTCTGGAATTGAAGTGTTGAATATAACCTCAATCAGTGAGGTGACAAATAATATACATGTGTGTGTGTGTGTATATATATATATATATATATATATATATACACACACACACACAACCTTCAATTTGTAAAATACCACACCACCAAATAAGTTTTTGTAAATATTTTTTCACAAAAACCGCTATCATTGACCTGAATAATAAAATCTGACTGTATATTTGTTTTATTCAATGTATTTTTTAACAGTAGCATATTGAATTAGAATTTTTACTTGAGTAGCCAAACTTGTTCAGGTCATCTTTCAAATATTTCTACTGGCCTGGAAGAATATATTGAGCTAGATATTTCTTAAATAAACTAGAATATTATTTTTAAAATATTTACAATTTGCATTAATTTAAAAAAAAAATATCATTTTTCAATGTAACTTCTTAAAATTTGTAATTTTAAATTTTTTTTAATTTTTTTTATTTAGCTTTTACCAAGACAGAGTTCAGTGATTGGCTTGCTAAAACTGTACCCTACACAATAATCCTTGGAGCTATTTCATTAGGAATTGAAATTCTTGTCTCACTTGTAAGGTAAGTGTATTCATTTTCAAAACATTTGTGTGTAATGTTCACAGAGTAATGGCAGTTATTTCATTATTCAAGCGATTTCATTTTTAGAATATTTAAAATCTTTTTATGACAATTCCTAGATATTAATATTTTTTTCTAGTATGTTTTTATTGCCCAGCATGATCATCTGATTTTACAATGGCTTCACTTTTCATTCTTGTTTAAATTTTTTGCATGCAGTGGGACTTGAACTCTGATCCAAATTAACCAATGAAGGATTGCAGTTAGTCAATTAGGTTATAAAATTTTTAGTGTGATGTCAAAATCTATAAATACATTTCTTCAAATTTTTGTTTTTACTGTCTGTATTGTTGTGGAAACCTCTCCATGAAAACCAATTGTATTATGAGATTTATTTTGAAGAGGACAAAAATCACACTTTGAATTAATTTGTATGTGTGTCAGAAACCAATTGGAATTCTTTTCTTGCATAAAGGTGTCAATAATAGTAGATTCACCTAGTGTCTGGCTCACACTCCCCCCAGTCCTTTTGAACAGGAGTCGAAGTTTATACCTTGTTTCCAGTTCCTTCTAAAGTCTAGAAAACGGCTCTATACTCTTAACGCTTGTTCTTTCCTAAGCTAATATAACTCCACCCTCTACATTGAGTAACTCTTGGGCCTTGAATTGGGTGAACATTAGTTAAAAAAAAAGGAAAATAGACTGAGGGAAAACCTCAAGTAACCTACCTAACAAGCTTAGATGACAAAATGGAGTGGGGAGGGGGGGATAGTCATGGGATAAACATTGCTGAGAGCAGGGGGTTGTCAAACATTTTCAACCAGAAACCCCCTCTTGTTTCTCTTCCTTTCCCAATGACCCCTATTTAAAATATCTTTGAACCTTAAAAGTCACACTGATGTTGGTAATTAAAATGTTAATTAAAATGTTAATTAAAATGTTTGAAAAGTTAAGAAATTCGGATCAATTTCTATTCTCAAAAAGTGCTTTTGCTGCATTATCCAGATGTTGAGTTTGCATTCAATCTCTGGGGTTTCATGTGTAAATTTTCAAGGTTCACTTCAAATGGTATTACAATCCATGCTGGTACTTTCATATTCTCAATGTCTTCAAAGCCAAACACAGAAATTGTCCCCCCCTTTTTCCCCTATCTGTTTTTACAAGTGATTGGTGAAGATATTTATATCGTCATCTGAAATATTTTGCCTTGAGTTCAAGGAGAAGTGCATTAAGTTCAAGAAATACTTAAACTATTCTCCGAATTTTTAAACAATCCGCTCTTCACCTGGAGACCCATGATGACTGTTTGTGCTTTTGATTCTGTTGATAGTTGAGCTCAGTGCCTTCCTTTCCTCTGCACCAAAGAATACAACATACATGTACATTAACTAAAATTTAGCTGTGTCATTCACACATTGAACCCCATTCGACCCCTTCACTATCACTAACCCTCTTGAACTCCTCATTGACCCCTAGAGGGTTGCTCGGACCCCGTTTGATGACCCCTAGCTTAGAATGACAAAGGATAGGAAGTTTTGGAGAGCCATGACCACCTACAGCACATAAAATTCATTTTCCGATAAGCTTGTTGGCCTATTTTAAACAGACTTGCAATGTTAAAATCAAACGTTAAAATTTTATGTATATAATCTCTTCCATTTGCATGAAGTGTGTATGGTAATATAAAATTTGACTGTTTATTCTAAATGAAAGGTGTCTTTATTCTACTTGTAAATTCAAATTTTTAATTCACAGTTCTGCCTGTTTTGTTTATCTCCAGTAAGTTTGTTGTGAATATCCAAGCTTCTTTATTTTTTCTTAAAATTGCAGGTTTTCTTACATTTTAGGACTAAATCTATAAATGTTATATTTGTATAAAAAGTGCTTTTTAAATATTTTTTTTTTCCTCCTTTTTCTTTTTGTATCACTGTTTGGAGGTTGACTATTGTTGAACTGATTTATTGGACTTGTATATTGATTGATTGGAGAGGAAAATGGCTTAAATTAATCATTTGCATTCTGCTATGTCTCGGAAGTTTAAGATTTTAGATACTAATTGTTGCTGTCAAATTACATTTTAGCTGTTGATTTGAAAAAACTGGGGTTATAATTTTTAAGCACTTCTGTGATAACAGTATGAAGTGATAAGCTTTAAAAATATGCCAGATGCTTGTCAAGAAATTACTTTTATTCAGTTGTCACAGTGACATATTCAGCTGAGAAATTAATTTGAGGACTATATAAAATGCTATTCTAGGAGCAAATTCCTATGATTCTTGCAAGTTGGAATTGTGAAGTCTTAAAGAATTTCTTTCTTCAAAATGGCCACATTGATAGGGAGACACTCTGACAATATGCAAACAGGGCATGGTTCATTCATGGAAGAGTGTCTTCTGAAGAAACTAGCCTTAGAATAAAAAATTATTTATGAAATGTCACTTAAAGGAACAGATAAATTCAACTATATTGCTGCTAAGCCAGTAACCAGTTAGAATGGATTGGCCTGGGTTTCATTAATTTACTAGAAATAGTATAATTAATTATTACCCTAAGGGCATCTGGAATCTTTCTCTGGGGACAATGAAATCCCAAACTGATGCCCATCTTGGGTATGATGATAAATTACATTCACATCCTGGGTAAGACGATAAACTACGTCCAACAGGATGACCTCTGATCAGAAGGTTTTGAGCAGCGTGGAACCACCTCTTAAATGCTGGTTCCCAGGTCCACCCTGACCTGGGGTGGTCCCAGCCATGGGCAAATAGTTAACCCCCAAACTGGGGTCAAGAAACTATGAAAATGTAAAAATAGGTTTAATACCAGAAATACTGTGAAAAAATTATCATCAGTAATACATTTTTGAAAAAAAAAAAGTATTACCAGCAATAAAAATTGTCAGCCTTAAATAACTGATTGTGGTTGATATGCTGTAAAATAAAACCAGCCAAATCAAAACTGATGCATGGTGTTTCTTTAATCATCAATCTCATACTTATCTATAAGAGAATAGGTTCCCAGAAAAAGACACTGTTCCTTTTTAGATGTTTTGCTGGGGTGAAAATTGACATTCATGATTTTAAATGTTTTATTCTGAGAAATGTTTTGGCTTTCAATCAAGTCTGAATGGCTTTACCTAATTTCAATGATGCTGATATCTATTTTAATCGATCATCTTTTCAAGTGAATATATATTCTTACTAACTGGCTCTTTTCCAATCTTGATATAATTACAGAAACATATTGCTTGTATTTTGGTTCAGGGTTATCCATAAGCTTCTGCCCTGATTTCCCAGAAGAGGGTGGGTGGGTGGGTGCCTATCAGTCTCTATTACTGAGTCCTGTTGAATAATACTAGTTAATTCATGGTTCAAAGTGTTATTACCATCCCAAGAGTTGTTTATATGATTGAATGCTTTTTTTCTTTCTTTTTTTTTCTATAATGGTTATATGGAAAGAGAAAGTTTGGTCTTTTTCATTACAAAGAAAAAGATGCCTTTTCTGTTTATATGAAGAAGGCTGTAGAATAGATTAACCAAAATGTGGCAACAACAAAAACAATAAAATGGCAATAACTTTTACATATTAACATATGACATTTTCTATTGATATTTGTTATAAATTTTTCTTATGGCAGTTGGGACAAAAACTTAAGTATTGAAATGTTTTCTATTTTCAGATGTTGGCAAAGTGAAAAAACTCTCTTTCGAAGACTGACCTCATCATTTGGGGTTTGCTTAATGGCTGGAGTTGCTGCTCTTATGTTTGTTGTCAGCCTTGTGAGTTATTTTTATTTTTTTATTTTTTTTTATTTATAGCTTTGTTAATTACATTTTTTTTTTTTTTTTTTTTTTTTTAAGAGATATATTTCCATCATTCCATAGTGCAGGACTTCATTGCTATCTTCAGTCATTTAATAGTCAATGTTATTTATTCTTAAACTTTGTCATAAGTTGTCATGAAAACCCCAATTTTTTTTTTCCTCATGCTTTTTTTTTTTATCTGCTTGAAAGGAAAGATCTCACAGTTTACAGAATATTTATTTAGAAACTACAAAAACTTTCCTTTCAACAAATATTTTTTAAATTTCATGACATGTGATTTTTTAACAAATATAAATAAAAATGTTCATATTTTATTTATATATATATATATATATATATATATATATATATATATTAGGTTTTTGGTAATTAAAGATTAATTAATGAGCCTAGTGATCAACTATCCAAAGAAGTTAAATACATTTTCTGTGGTACTACCAAAGACTGTAATTGCCAATTACATTAACACTCATCAACTATTCTTTCTAAATTTACAGAGAAAAAGTTGCTTAGATTTAATATACCAAACAACCTTTTTGTCTTTAAATTCTTATTAAAATGACTGCTTCTTGATAAATAGGCTTTGATTTGAGTCAGAATTTTTTTGACAGTTTCACAAAAAGTCTCTTAAAAATTAAAAAAAAAAATAGAATTTTGAAATTAAACTACAGATTGTAATTTCTCTGCAAACATCAAATAAGAAATGTATAATATTAAAAAAATATTGAAAAATGACTTTTTGCAATTAATCCTATTTTACATGAAGTATTTTTTTTATAATGAAACATTTTTTCTGAAAATAAATGTTGTTTATAATATATAAAAATACCAAAGTCTATTATTTATTCTGATAATTACTTACTAAAATATTAACGGTGTTTAAACAAATTTTTGTTTTCTTTTTTTAGCTGAGGAATTCCCTCTCTTTAATTGAATGGAGAATTGATGAGACTAAGAATTAATTTTAGATTAAAGTTAACAAATTTATTTGTTGAAGATTTACTTTATATTCATTTTATAAAACAAAAATCCCCCCCCACAAAGGAGGTGACTGGCTACCCCAAGATGATACCCTATGATGGTTGGTATTTATACAAAGTGTATGCGCCAACCAAAATGACCAATATATGCCTACCTCACAGTCACCTGACAATTCAGCATCTAATGCATTTAAAACTTATAGTTGTGGCCAGTTGTTGCTTAATACCATATTTTTGAAAATAATACTGATTAGCAATCTCAATAGCATGACCATAAATAATCCTCAGCATTATTCCATAAAATAAAAGAAATCAAGAAGGAACTTCACATATCCCACATATAATATATATATATATATATATATATATATATAATATGTGTGTGTGTATGCCAAAAAAGTGTATGTACATTTCAGGGAAGGAAAAAAACCAAAAAAACTTGTCTTTTGTAATTTTATTAAATTGCAGTAACTCTTTGCTACGTTGGGGGAGTGGGTGTTTTAAAGGATGTAGTGTATTGTAGAAAACATCTACATTGGCATCCCGTAGGCAAGAAATTGAAAATGCATGTGAAGCAATCCCACTGGGCACTTTGGCCAACATTGCCCAAGCAGTAGTTTGCCATACTAATAAATGTTTGAAAGCTAAAGGCCACCATTTTGAACATCTCTTATGACTGTAGAGTCTAAAGGTAACTTGCATTAATCTTGTGATGTCTGAATAAATTTAGTATTACAGTATCTATACAAGTTTATTTTCCTTTCCTGAAGTGTGCATACATTTTTTGCCTGTGTGTGATATAGATATATATAATGAAATGGACAAAGTCCAACAATTATTTTAAGACATTTATGTTTATATGTTCTTTTTATTGATACAAATATTTAAGTAAATATTAAGTAAATGCTCTGTTTATAATAAACAGTATTAACGACATTTAGCGGCCTGAATGTCCGAGAAATTTTCATAGAAAATATGCGTCCTCCAACAGGAATCAAACCTGTATCCTATACGGAACAGTCATATAGCCTGTCAGAGGACGCATATTTTCTATGAAAATTTCTCGGACATTCAGGCTGGTAAATGTTGTTAATACTGTTTATTATAAATAGAGCATTTACTTAAAAAATTTTATCTATAAAAAGAATGTATAGACATAAAAAAAAATATATATATATATATATATATATATATATATATATATAGTGATAGGCCTGGTTAATAAAATTTGAATAATAATAATGATATCAATATTGTCAACAAAGTTGGTATTTATTATATTAACTTTTTGATTGAATTGAAGCATGAAGGGATAGATTTTAATGTTGGAATTTTTGAATACGCTTGTGTTCTTTTTCAACAACATGAGGAATAAACAGAAAAGTGGTACTTACTCTTCCAAGGAATGTTGGTTAGTGGTCTCCCTGTGGACAATATTCTGAGTAAACCCAAATCCCTGATTTATCCCTCAGTGTTTGAATTTATTTTGAAAATAAATTTCAATTCTTATCTGCATCTTCTTGGTTGTTGAATGAAGATGCTAAAATTATGCATCTGATGTCATCGACACTTTGAAATGGTTGGTTGAACTGTGCAGCAACAGGGAAATTGTTGTCCCTAATTTTTTTTTTTTTTTTTCCTATGGTTATTGAATCAAAGACTGATTTCTGTTCCTGTTTCTCCAAAATAATTCCCTTTCTTGCATTTGTGGCAGAAAATCAAATATGTAAGATTTGAACTGTCGAAAGCTGGTGATTTGAATACTACTTGAGTGCAAAGAGGGTGTGAAATTGCTATCAGTGATGGTATGCCTACAGACTTGGCATCAAGTTTTATTGCATGTGATATTCTCTTGGTGAGGTGCTGAATCGTGTATGCTAGATGATGTTAAGAGTTTGTGCATAGATTGGCAGTGGGAGAGTTGACACCTTGTGTGAAGTGGGTTCTTGCTGAATATTTTTCTATTTTTTTGTTTAAGTTTCAAGTTTTAAAAACTGGCCAAAATCGCCCTTCACAATGGCTAAAAAAATAGCTAAAAGAACTGAGAGATATGCAGAACTTTTGGACAGTTTCTATGCATGTTGTGTCCAAAAGAAAAAAATTAAATAAAATGTCTAATTGCAGTACCTTGTCAGTTTGTCTTTAATGAAACTTGTATAAAAGAGGGATTGCTGCCCAAATACACAATTATATATATATATATATATATATATATATATATATATATATATATATATATATATATATTATAATTTATTTATTTATTACTGCCTGCTAAAGGAACAGTAGCATTTAGTCTGAAGATTGAAACTGACAGTCACCTTGCATAAATTTTATGTGGTGTGAGTAAATTTTGGATGAGAATTTGATGGAATAGTAAATGAGTTTGGAAAAAAAAATTCTATTTCAATTATGTTTAGTTGATGAATCCATTTATTGGCAAAACATGTCAAAATAGTTTTACGAATGGTCTTGTATATTATGTGCGCACACATACACACACAATGATTTTACAAGATGACTGACCACAAAAGAAACAGGTTCTTGGGTTTGTTTTGAAAATATTGTCTTAGTATAAATTTCAATTCTCACCAATAGTATTGGCTGTAATCTATTACCGTTGTGTCTATTACCATTGTGTATAATGAAGACGCTAAAGGTTATTATTCTATTGCATGCCTTATTTCTTGGCCACCATTGAAAATGCTGTAGATTTTTTTAAATGGGACTCATATTTGCAATTACATTTTTATGTGATTAAAACAGTTGGTTTACATTCTTTTATAATTTTTAAATATTGGTTATTAACATAATAGTTGAAATGGATCTGAATTGGGTGACATGAAGACGACACCATTTATGTAGAGTTCTGATAATGACATGCTTGTAGATTTGGTTTGAGGTTTGAATTCCATGTGGTTTATGTTTGGTGAGTCAAAAAAAATGTTCTCAATATTTTTTTATTTCTATTCTCTAGAAAATTAATCCCAACAAATTGTGGTTGTTGCTGCTTCTAACAACATTATTATCAATATTTTTAATAATAATAATATCAATAGTTAAGAGTGTGATTTAAGAAAAGATGAAAGAATAAACAGTGTTAGACATTCTGTTGAAATATTGTTTAACATTGTCAATCTTCAAATTATATTTAAACAATTTTTTAAAATATATAAATCTACAAAAAAATATTAGTTTTTGTACAGATGTTGCTTTTTTTTTTTTTTTTTTTTTGTAATGAAAAAAATGGCTGTACTGGTAATGAACACGTCAGAATGAATGAAACACCACCTGCATGAAGGCATGAACCTGAAATGTGCCTAATATGATGGTGATCATGTTCACCTGAAATTTTCCGTTAGTTGATTAGTTATTGAGAGGAATTGGTCAAACAGCTTAGTATAAATCCTATGGAACTCTCCTGTCATTCTCTTCATTCCCCCGTGGTGGGAAGTTAATAATTTGCTTATGTAACCATCATCATGTGTTTTAAAATTATTAATAATAATATCAATAATATTATTATTAATAATATCATTATTAAAATATCAATTTTTTGATTTTGAATATCATTATTAATAATATAAAAAAGTTATTTCAGTCTGTCATGACTTTCTGCTATAAGCTAAAAATCCTTATTACTATTTTTATTTTGTCTGCAGACTTGTAGTTAAATGTTGGAACTATTTCATCTGCTAGAATCTTGCATTCTAAGTTTTCTACTTTTCATTGTCATTTTGATTTTGTAGGTTCCCTACACTCGTATTCACACTGAAGTGCAGGAAATATTTCCTAAAGATCTCTTTTTATCCCACAAAGTTACTGTACCATATAAACTGAGCGGTTCATATGGTCTTTTTCGCAGGTACAAATACCCACTCCCATCCACTATGACTTTTACTCTTTCCCTGACCATTTCTTCAATGTCCATTGTTTTTAATCTCTTTTTATTTTGAGACTACAGACTTTAATTATCACTTGCCACATTGACTAAGGAACCTAAAGCAGCAAATAGTTTTTTTTTTTTTTTTAATTCTTCAAGAATCGTTTTTCCTCTCTGTAACCCTAACAGCAACAATAGCACATTATAGCAAAACTTTTGTTAGTGCAAAGCTGTTAAATTACTCTTAAAAAATAAATCAATTTGAAACTTAATATTAGTATGAATTCAGCATTTGCGCTTGCCCTGAATGATCTGAATTATTATAAGAAATAACTCAAGTATATTAAAAACTATTTATAGAATAGTTTCTGATAATTCTAAGAAATTTTATAAAAATGAAGTGACTTGACATTTGAGCTTAATAGCTATCAATGATAGACTTGAAGTAAAATAAAAACTTTTTAATTTGCTTACTACTATATATCATTTTTGTAATTCATTTATGTCTGTTGCTTTCCCCCCCTCATAATTGGTGAGGATTGAATCGTTAGCAGTTGATTTCTGGAAATATTCCTGTTGTGGCTGTAGACAACCCAAATTTGGGTTGATGTGTCCATTTTGTTTTATAATGCAGTATAGAAAGTTTTAAACAAGAAAATTAATGAAAAAAAGAATCTTTAGAACAAATTGAAGTTTTAAATATTTTATTTACTTCTATGATGACGATGATCATCATCAGTTTTGTTCTTGGGAATTTTTAAAAACATGCAAAACCCCTTTATTACCTATTATTTATCATCACTTCTATAATATATAACAATGACTTGTATAAAACAGCCATAAACAGGTAGTTGATGTAGTTGCACCTTGGATGTGCAATTGTAGGATGAAATGGATGGCATATATAGAAGTACCCACCTAAGAGAGAAGGAGTCTCTTGCATCCTTATGAGAATATAGAATCTACATTTGGAGAAAACCCCAAAGACTGGCTGACAGTCTGGAATTGAATAAAATGTAATGTTAGGTAAAAGATTTAGTCTTGTGTTCTTGTTAGTATAAAATTACATGAGATTACACAAGCAGAAAATTTAAGAAATGCAATTGAAAAATGACTCAAGTATTACTTATGGTATAGAGGCAAACTAGAATTTTTTAAATGAATTTTGAATTATGAAAATTTAAATTCAATCTAAATTTTTAAAGTTTGCCAGTAAAATTTTTTAAAAATTCAGTAGTCTGTAAGAAATGAAAAGAATCTTTATATTCAAAGAGAAAATAATTTTCTTATAAAATTCCTTTATTGATCATTTGTTAATATTGTTTTGTTTACACAAAAATCAATCTTGGTACACAAAACTGAAACAGATCTAAAACAATGGACTCTGAAAATTAGGATTTTGGAATGATGCTTTTTATTAATTTTGTGTGTCTTCAAATTCTCTGCAGTGATAGATTTAAAAACTTAATGAAATGGATGAATCTCTGCTGTGATGTTTTTTTTTGTTTTCAATTTTTTTTCTTCTTTAATTTCTTTTTAACAGCTCAGTGTTCCCATATCTTTGATGCCACCATTTTGAAAATTCTTTTGTAATGATCCTCAGTATTTTTACTGAAATTTGCAACATTCCTCATTTGTTGCATTTGAAATATTCATTGGATCTTTGAATATTCAAACTAAAATTGTTAAATCAATAATCTCTTGTTTATTCTTGGGACACAAAAAAAAATCAATGCAATAAAAAAAAAAACTCCTTTATAAGCTAAAGCTGCATTTGAACTTTTGGAAATTTGTCCTTATCTTTGAACACTTCTACTGCTGTTGTTGTTGTATTCAGACATCTTTATAAAATTTATATTGCCTGTGACACAAATTAGTAGATTTTTATTTTTTTTTTTTATTTTTTTTTTATATCATATTTTTATTACTTTAAACATTATTTTTAGTGCATATACAAAATTTGGCCCCCAGCATGATTCAAACCTGCACACACTGATTCTTCTGGTAAAGAGGGATGCAGGTTTGAATCCTGCCAGAGGGCACATTTTCTTTAAGTTTTCTTGAGCATACATAATGGTAGAGAAATACCATTTAAAATAAATGGAGTGTCTATTCAAATGCAGGTATCCACTAATGAAGTAATAAGTTTTGAAGTCGCTATAAAATGTTAGTCCCTAGCATTTTGGGTTATAAACTAACAAGTGCTTGATGCTGTTTCTGCACCAGCATAAACATACAATAGCATACAACTTATACTTAAACTTGTTTTAGTGACCTATTTTTATTGTATTGTGTATTGGAGGTGTTGTTTAGCTTAGTCTGTACTGAAGAATCACGCATTCAAAATGTCAGTGGCCATAAGAAATTGCTATTAAGTGGCTTTATAGTCATCTATTTCTAGTAAATAGAAATTTCTTATTTTTCCCAAAATGGGCCAGCACAGTCAGGCCACAATGCTATAACAATGCAACAGTGAAATACCAAGAATGAAATATCTACCTTCTGTAGTACAGTGATTAGCAAGCTAGTATTGTAGACTAATATAATATATATATATATATATATATATGTGAAACTTAGTCAAAAATATTTGGGTATAAATAATGTAAATGAATATTTTGTATATAATCTTTAAATATGCTTGTAAGGAATAAAACAGTCAACAAAATTCTAACCAGACATACTTATCGATGTTGAATTAAATGAAAACGGTTATGTCTGATTAAATGAGAGATTTGCAAAAGCCTGTCTTAACATGAAATTTGTTTGGTTCTTCTTTTTAGTGAATATTCTTAACAATTGAGGAAAACTGTTTCAGATTGTGGACGACATTTTAAGATATCTCTTCTTTTTTTTTTTTTTTTCTTTCCTCATTCAGACTTAATTGAAATTTCTTTTTTTTTTTCTTTTTTTTTCTTTCTTTTTTTTCTTTCTTTTTAACTTTCAGAAGTGTAAAAAATTTGTGTTGGTTTCTTTCATTCTCATTGCATTTGTTATGTCTGTTTTTGACCAACCGACTGACCATGTTCATGCGAATGTTTCCTTCTCTAGGTTCCTCTCTCCCATCTTCATAAGCAGGCCACAGAAGACATGTGGCCTGAAATCAAACAAATTCACTCTACTGTTGCACCACTGCGAATTGCTGCTTCATATGGCTCTCTGCAAAGGTACAACTGTGCAGTAGGAGATGCACCACTAGAGAGAAATTTTTAAAAAATGGATTTTTAAAACTTTACACTGTAGCTATTTGTAGATATTTACTAATAACTTTAATTTTTTTTTTTTTTAATTGCACTTGATTTGCTTGGCTTTGATCATGTCATTGCATTTTAATCTATGGATAATTGTGTAAAAAATCCATCTTAACAAGATATCTTTTATTGACATTGACCTATTCAATTACAAATTTCTGTAAATATCATTTTCTATAATACATCTAAAACCATCTATATAAAGGCTGTTTTAACTATATCTGTTATCAGTTTTAATACAATGAAAAATGTTTATATTACTTAAAATCTTACTTTTAGCTGGTATACTTGTATTTTCTTTGTGATTCTACTAATACAAACAAAACATTGATATATTCAAAGAAAGTTTTTTAAAAATCTTCTATGCATTCTTTGTTTGATTACTGTAACATTCTTCTGAAGATACGGGAATGATTTCAGTTGGAGATTTTAAGATTTGCATAGGAATAATGAAAGGTTTTCCAGAACCTAAGCAAAGTATTAAGATATGGGGAAAATATTGTTAGAAACTAAGTGTGCTGAACTGCTATGTGACATTTAATTTCTTATATGGCAGATGAAGAGGAGACTTGAAGTAACAGATTTGCTTCTACTGACAAGTGCTAAGAATACCATGGACAGGACATTTGAACAACAAGGAAGTTTTTTATGGAAATAGGAACCAGTAAACTTATAAGAAAGTCTGTTGAAATTTCTGGAACACATAATGAGGAAAGAGGGCCTAGAGAATTTGACACTCACAGGACATAGTTAAGGCAAGGGAAAACACAGAGTAACCTATTTAGTATTGAGTGAATGGTAAGACTAAGAGAAAGAGGGATGTTAAAAGGTTAAAAATTACTTGGAGCAACAAAAGAAAAGATGTTATGGAGTGTTTGCAATTGGCCAAGTCCTAAAAGGACTAAAAGGACTTGGTGTGTTAAAGATTATAGTTACATTTTCATGTTGTCTCCGATTTAACCTTATTATCTCTTAAAGAATCTCCATTGTTTTATTTTGGCAATTTAAATGGCAAAGAGAAAACTTTGGAATATTTGAAATGCATTGTTTTCTTTCTACCAAATTTGGCACTGTGCCAGTCTGAAATATGCTATTTTTTTTTTCAAGATGACTGTTTTCATTTCACTTTCTAGAATTCAAACAAAAATCAGTTTTGCTCCATTATTTTTCACTAACCTATTTTATTTGGATTTAAAAGTATTTTACATGTCTGCACAATTAGAAATTTTAATTTTCTCTCCTTTGGGAAGAATTTTGAAGTATCAGTTCATTTATTCTATTTCTGTTACCATTTTCAGTTTGTCTTGTGCTTGCTTTGTTCTGATTAGACTGAATCAAGCTTAAGGGACATAATAATATTATTATCTGTTTAGCATAAAAGCTAAAATAACTTCTGCATGATTCGTCTTCATTTCAGTTGGTAATGCTGTTGTGATTTCTGATTTAGTTTGTGCGCATTTTGTACAGATTACTTTAACCTTTTTTTTTTTTTTTTTTTTGTAGTCATGAAAATAACCCCATTTTTGTGTTCATATTAAAACTGTTTTTCTTTTACAGTGTGTTTACTATTGGTCTGTCCTAGTTCTTTAACTGCCAAGAAATATATTAATACTTGTGTATAATACTTTTTTGATGTACTCTTATGCTTCTGAAAAATGACCTCTTTCCATTTTTAAGCTTCTTGGGTTTTTTTTTTTTTTTTTCTGTAAGTAAATTTCACCTCTGGTTACTTAAAATATTATACACTTTATTACATTACCTATATTTAAATTTATTTACGAATTAATTGAAAGTTAGTAAAAGGCCAATATTTTTTTTTTCTTGTGAAAAAAAAAATCTTTTAAACCTAGAAGTATATACAATGAAACTTTTTGATGACTCTCTTTATAGTAACACAGTCCATAATGGCCATCATTGTAATTGAAAATGCTGTAGACATTGTATTGAGCACTTAAAGAAATTATGAAACTTTTTTTAGCTGTTTTGAGCATTTGAGAAACTGGGCAAATGCAAACTTGGTTGAAAATAGCTGCTGTTTCTTTTACCAAAAAGTAAAAAAAAGCCAAACTACAGTATAATTATCTGTTTGACTGAAAATACAATTAAAATAAAAATTGAACAACTAAATGACATACTATGTTAGCCATAGAATATATTGTGTAAGAAATCAGATATAACTAAAAATGTCTGTTAAAAAGAAATAAACTGGTCTGAATAAAGACAAAAGGGAAACTTAACTTTCTCAAATCAAAATACATGAATATAAAGTTTTTATAATGATGAGAAAATGGTTAAATTCAAAACCTATTATTTAATATATATAATACATAACTTTGCAAACTAAAATAAACAATAATTACATTATAATAAAAAAAATTCAACAACATTTGCTCATGTCTGACCTTAAATTACATCACTTAGCATGTTCCATAATTTACATGACTTTATAGCTTGAAGTATATTTATGAGCATTCTTGTTTTAAAAATTCTGAAAACTTAGTATTTGTACTTCTGTGTATAAATACTTGTAAAAAATCTACACATTTGCCTTGCTAAAGTTCCTTTAAATAGAACTTTCAGCTTGTATAGATGTTACTGTTTAGAAATTTATACAATGTTATTTCTTTTGTTTTGTTGATTTGAAAGTTTTTCAAAATGGTTTCCTGTTGAAAAGTATGATGTGAGGAAGCTTAATTATTTTATATGCACTTGGTCATTTGATTCCAGTGTTAGAGAAAAAAAAAGTTCAAAGATTCCATGTCAAGTGGCCATATTGGATTTATTAATTATTATTCTACAAAGAAATTAAAAAAAAAAAAAATCCTACAGTATTATCCCGATTCATAATTGTTTATTAATATGAATTGATTATTTGGAATAGAAAAATCTTATTAAAGCTATTATGAACTTTGTGTATTATTGTTGGACAACCAATAGTATAACAATATTACTAAAACTATCATATTAATATATTTGTAGCATTTCAACTAATTGTGATCATCCCCCAATCTTTTCCTTGCCTGTGTTTTTGATTGGTTGTGTGTTTTTGATTACAGGTTCCTTATACTGTCATTGATGTGAAGAGTAACACTAACCTGATGCCCCAGATTAAAACTTGGCATAGAAAACTAGATCACCTGCATCTTACTAGTAGTTACGGACTATTCAGAGTGTAAGCATGGCTCTTTTTCCTCCCCACCCTTTGGTCTTTATTAAAATCTTTTTTTTTTTTTTTTTTTTTTTTTTTTTGTGCTTCATATTGCAGATAGAACTTTGACGGCATTTTCATATCAGTTTATTTTAGAAATTATAAACATTTTGCAAAGACAAATTTTTAGAAAATAATTTAGGTACTTAAATAAGGCTGAAAACGTAAAAAGGCTGGTTATAAGTTTCCATTATAATGGTTTCCAGTAATCATTAACTGGGTTACATTTTGTGGACTAATTCATTTATAACAAGGATAAATGCACAACTGACCAGTTTCATAATGTACTCATCTTCTGTGGCTGCTTTATTGATTAGGACTATAAATTGGCAAACTCTCTTGTAAGGGACTTTATAAAATATTATTAAGCCTGTTGCTGTACATACTTGCCATCTAATATTTTGAAAAACAATAAAAGTAATTATTAACCCTTTCAAGCTAAATTTGCCTACAAGTTTTGTACCTTGGGAGTGCTTGAATGTGCAGTTGGTTAGTACTGTATTTCAATACACAGCATTAACACCTGCCACATTATTGACTAGAGGCACTTTTACCCAGTCATACCAAAGAGACTAAATTTGGTTTCATTTGATTTTCAATGATTTCTGAAATATATCAATTTAATTGTACTGTCCTCATTGAAATCTCTTAAGGGCTGATAAGGTTAAAAATAGATTTAATCATATGAATTACACAGTTGTTTTATAAAAAAGAAGTTTTCTTCATTGTCTATAAGCTGATTTCATTTTGCTGGCTGATACTGTTAATGGCTAATTAAATCTTCAGCTAAGACTCCTATACAATATGATGTCTAATTACAAATGCTGGAAAATGTTTACAAAACTACAGTTCAGCTTTATAATATTTTATTTCTCACTTTTAAATATGATATTCTAATTTAAGTTTACTCAAAAATGTATTTTAAAATTATAATAGTTTAAAATTCAAATGTAAAACCCTAGAGAATATGATTATTTTTGTTCTTGGTAATTTTTTTTTTTTTCTGGCAACATGGCGGATAAATTGTAAGTTTTAAAAATGACAGGAAAAGTAAAACTGGACAATTTTGCTTGAAATATTTCTAATAAATATTTAATGAAAAATATTCAGTGCAGTCTTATGATCAGGAAACAGAATTTATGGATTATACTTGCCTTTCTTTTTTTTTTTTTTCCTCTTTTTCTTTTTCCTTTGGTGACTTTTTAACTCAATGTGTGTAGTCTGTTATTTTATATAAGTAGTTGCTTTTTTTTTTTTTTTTTTTTTTTTTTCAATGTTCGTGTTTTTCTATATCTTTTGAATTTAGTGACCTTGCTCCATTATTGGGGAGGGGAACAAGAGGAAGGTAAGGCTGCACTGACGCCATCTTGTTTCCCATATCAGTCACTGTTATATTTTATTCCTCCTCCTGGCCGAAATTTTAGATTTATTAGATTACTTATAGTCAAGAAACTTGCACTTTTTTTTTTTTTTTTTTCAACTTACATCAAATTGTTGTTCTGCAATACTTTTTTTTTCATTTTCATGCAAAAAACTTCAGGTGTGTTCAGATTAGTCTGTGTATTATCAATTTTTAAATATTCACTTTAGAAAAGCAATTCCCCCAGAATTAGAACATCCATGATATGTAAGGAAACAACTGAGAATTAAAGCAATAAAAATAAATATACATAAAGTTATAAAATTTTTTAATTATATAAGGGTTGCTTTTGAAACTCTTATATTGGTCCATGAGTTTTGCTTACAGACAGAATGGTAACTTAGTGGCAGTCTAGTAAAATGATGCTTGACATGAAAATGTATGATGCAGAGATGTCCTTGGATTTCTTCATGGAGTGGGGAATAGCACCTATTGACATTCAATGATGCTTGCTGAGTGTTTATAGACCAAACAATGGATGTGAGCACAGTTGTTTGATAAGTGTGAGAGAGAGAGGTGGGGGTCATATTCAGGCTGATGAAAGGATTGTGCTAACCACACTTCCTTTGAAATTTCATCACTGTTGTGAAGAAATTAGTAATTTGTAGCTGTTAACTTGTTGTATCCAACAATGTCATTGTCTTCCCTTTATTTGTTGTACTTTCTACAGAAATAAATCTACATGCATTACTTTCTGATCAATTGTCATAAAAAAAAATTGAATTTTGTAAACTTTTGCAAAGGAAAAGTTGTCTTCATTCATGAATTTTATGAAAATTTTTTTATGTCAGTAATATAGTTGAAGATTTTTTAGATTTGTTTAACTGAAATAGTTTTATAGATTTGTTTAACTGAAAGTGAAAATAGGTGTTTTCCTTAAAATCTGAATTTATTTTTAATGTAAAAACAAATTCTAGTAAAGTTTATGCAGTACTTAAAAATAAATAAATAAATACATTATTTAGAATTTGTCTAAAAGTGCTTAATATCAGAGCATTTATAAAGACCGTGGACATAGGAATCAACACTGACTGTCAATTTCATGTTCACATGAAGTACTGGTCTGAATATGATATTGAAGCTTGAAACTGGCATTAATCATTCAGTGTTGATTTATGTTCATAATTTATATTGGTATTTCTAATTCAAGTTAGTGTTTTAAAATTAAAAATTTGTATTAGAAAATTATACTTAAATTATTACCTGACATATTGAGTAGAATAACATATAATATCATATAATATAAATAAATAAAAATTAATATAACTAAGTGAGATGAAAAATCTGAGTAGATCTTTGGACCACACTGTTTTTTGTTTGTTCACTCAAACATTTCATGAAATTCCTTATTACTTTCCTGTGCTGATTCTTTTTGATTTCATATAATTTTCTACATTTCTCTAATTTGAAATAATTTGCCATGATTTTAATTTTTACCTAATGCTATACAATTATCTTTAAAATAAAATGAACTAAAATTTTGTCAGCCTTTAAAATTATTCCATTTTCTTTTTCACATGTAAATACATTAAATAATATAGAAATTGTATTTTTTTATCAAAGGTAAGAAAATCTTCAAATTTCAGAGGTAACAATATTTGGTTTCCAAGATGAAGCTTTGTTAGTCATTTTTAAAAAATTTTTTTTAATTAATCATTAAGATTATAGTTAAGGATCATAATGATGGCCTACATGTTGTGATAAAAAGCAATTGGAATAATATGAAATAAATAAAAGCTTGCAAATATTTTCAAATAACAAAATAGATGCTGTCTTTGAATTCAGGTTATTGCCTTTATCACTTTATACAAATAATGATGTCCCATACAATCATTGAAGTTAAGCAATGTTAGGTCTGGTCAGTACATAGATGGGTGACCACTTGAAGTACCTGGTGCTGTAAGCTTGGGTGTTCAAGTAGTGTAATGGATAATGGCTTAGAATTAATTGGAGAGCCAAGTTCCAATTCCAGTTGGGTTCATTATATTCACTTATGTACAAATACCCTTGGGAAAAGCTATGAATTCACCTCTTAAGACTAAATCATTATCTCTGCAAAAAAAAAAAAATTCTTCCAATCTAAAAATATTTGTCTGGCTATAAATAACCTGTAAAGGGTTGATTAAACTATAAAAAAAAAAAAATGAACAAATCAATGAAGCAACTTTTTTACTCTTTACATTTTTTCCGTCCTCTTGTCTGTCTATAAATATATAAATTAGGGAAAACTTGGAATTATGAGACGAAATTTAATTTTTTTTAAAATTTTTTCCCCTCCAAATAATCCTCTTATTTTCAATTTTAAATTTTGATTTTTAAGATATACTTAACAACTTTAGCACCCCCTGTTGTTTTATCCTTTTTGATATATAGAAATAAAAAATAAAACCATAAGGAATCCTCAGGGGTTAAATCATATTGATAGGAAGCAGGTTTTAATGACAGTAATATGCAGAGTGAGGGTGGGGGGGGGAATGAAGACTACAAGGTGTGTATTTCAAGGTGTGTGTGTAGGGGGCATTTATTAACATTGTTGATGCTTAACAGAGAAATGCAAATGTTCTTTGTTGTTGGATGTGCTAAGATTTTTGTGTGTTGCAAGATTTTCTTGGACAGTAACTGCTTCTGCTTACTTCAGTCCTGAATAATATAAACAAAAATGAAAATCTTTATTGTTTAAAAGAATTCAGTGCAGCGTTCGCATATTCTTGTTGGTATGCTTTATAAATGTGTGTATCCTCACTCCTTCAGAAGTAAAAAAGAAAAATAAGTTTTCTTTGAACTTTATCTATAAATATATAAAAATAACAAATGCATGGATATTTTGTTATGCAGAATCTTTTTAATGATTAAAGTTTGTTGTTTTTTGATTGAAATTTAATTTGCATTTAGTTAATTTAGCATTAATCATTTTTATAAAAATGAAAATAATGGATTCTGTAATTTGTAAATAATAAAAATATTATATAAAAATCTTTTTCTTTAAATCTTAATCCAATATAAGTAATTATACAATAGAAAATTTATCTATATATAAGTTCTTTGTTTACTGTAAAAATATTAATAAAAATAGGTTTTAGGTTTTACTTGCTTCAAAATGTATATTGTAAGCATTTTTATAGGATGACTGGTGTTGGTGGTAGACCTGAGGTTATCATTGAAGGTAGCAATGATATGAAGGACTGGAAAGAATATCATTTCCTCTATAAACCTGGGAACCTTACAGAACGTCCAGTATTTGTGGGTGAGTAATTGTAAAGAATTTTCTGATATTTGAAGGTAGAAGAAAAACATTCTTTCAAAGAGGTTTGGTTAGATTTCTTATTGTATATGCATTAAATTGGTTCTTTTTGAACAAATCTTTTCTTGTACTTATGTGACTGGAAAGAGAAAACAAATATCTTCTCTCTAACAATCATCCTTTATCTGATTTTACTAGCCTGGACTATTGTTATTTTCTTATATACCAATGATAGATTAATTAGTGTAATCAGTGGTAATTCCTGTTATTACCAAATATAAGATTTAGATACTTGGATAATTATTGCACTAATTTTGTCAAAGTCACTTTGGAATGAATACAAAAAGGATAATCAAACATGTTTTGCCCAACAGACTTTCACTTAAAATAACAGATACAAATTTTAAATTGTCTCTTTAGCATAAATGTATTAGATTTATATGTATCCAAAATAGGGTTCAATTTATTATTTAGCTTAAGTTTAAGCTAGTTCTTGTGGAGGGCTTTTGATTGAGCCTTTATCACAATAGATAGGGAGGAGTAGATGAGATAGACAATAAACAGAAGAACTCAAAATTGATTGTTGCATATTGCATTAATATTTAAGCTTACCTTTTAAAAGTTCAACAATAATTCTTCTGCTTCCAATTAATTGAAAGACAATTTGATGTAGGTAGGGCCTTACTTTCCGTACAAACAATTATTTTTATTTCATGGGTGACTTTCACTGGATTTTGCAGTTAATTTCAATTATTCCCAAATTTATTTACAAGTTATGAAAATTATTATTGTACAAAAAAATTCATCATAAAAATCACGTTAAAAAATTGCCAAAAACAATCAGCATGATGAAAATTTAGAAATCCAAAATTTCAGGATTGTGGATCTGGATCCAGCTTGGAATGTTTTTAATTTTTTCATGGAGTTGGCCTGATTCCAAAATGGTATAATATGTTGGGCTATGGCCTCTAGGAGTAAAGTTGAAAAAGTGACACAGTGAAATTTGCATTTATTATATAGATGTAGTGTTTTTTATTTTAAGATATTTCTTCATTTAAGATTTAGTTTTCTACATTTTATAGAAATGTGACTTTCCACTTTTTTATTTTAAAAAAATTTTTTTTTTTAAGTGTATTATACACATGTCACAAATGAACAAAATGAAATGCTGTTATGGATTTTTACATTTGTTCTATTATATTTTACTAGTTTTGATAGAAAGCAAAGATGTCAAAACTAATAAAACATGTAATAAGAATAAGATTTTTATTGCTAAAATGGGATTGGCAAGCTACATTCTGACAGTATTCTCTTTGCTATTGGGAAAGGCATGAACCTATCTCTTTTCCTCCTCTATGGGTTAAATAGCATGGCACACTGAGCTCTTTAGTCTTGGTTAGCAACAAGTCTAAAAGAGCAATTTTGATTTTAAGAGAATGCAGTGGAAAAAACCGTTTCACAATGTTTTTCTAGAACAGTCATTGTAATGAATGGTTTACAGATGTAAAAAGAAGATGCTAAGAGTGACATGTTTGCCTCGTTTTTAAAATGTTATAATCAGGATATAATATGTTTGCTTCCTTTTTAAAATGTTTAAAAAAAATGGCTTTCTTCTTGTGACATTCCTTTTACTTGGCTACAATTTATAACATTGGATAATGACTTGTTCCATTGAAGCTTTTCTAACAAGAATCAAAATCTAAAATTTTGTATCCTGTTGATTAAAATAAAAGTATTATTTGCTTTAACTTCTCATGAGAAAACCGTTTTTCTCCTTGGAATATTTTCAGCTCCTCACCAACCTCGTCTTGATTGGCAAATGTGGTTTGCAGCTCTTGGTAATTACCAACATAATCCTTGGCTGTTAACTTTCTGTTACCGATTGTTGACTGGACAACCAGAAGTTTTGCAACTTATTAAACATAATCCTTTCCCAGAAAAACCACCACAGTATTTGAGAGCTAAACTACATCATTATCATTACACCAGTCCCAAACAGATGAGTGTTAAGTAAGTATTGGCAAGCCTCCTCATCTATCATGCATATCTCACAAACAAAGGATTTGCCATATATCTTAAAGATCTTTTCCTTGACATTTTTTTATGTTAATGTGAAGGTTATAACTTGTTTTACACTTTATGGAACACAATCCAGTCAAATGAGTTTTGTTATGGCTTCCATAGATGCTTGTGTGTAATAATTCCATGGCCTGAAATGGTTATTAACTGAATTTTGATCTGAAATGTTTAATATCTCTATTACCCAACTGAATTCAGTACATTGATAAAGTACATTGTTGAAAAAGAAAAATGTGTAAAAATAAATGCTTTTGTTCATCATTGAATTGTAGATATTGATTCCTTTTATTAAGTTGCAAAAATGTTTAAATTTCAAAATTATTTGAAATTAACTGATCCTCTGATATTTGATCTTTTAATACAATGAACATTGGATCAAAACAATCATAACATTCAATATGGGCTGGATAGCATTAACACACAATTTTCTATCTTCATGATTTTAATTTGTTGTTACAAGAAATTCCCTATGCTGTGTTTCTTCAGGACGTGGGAGATATGGCTCTCCACAATTTCATGTTCTTTGTAGCTCTTAGTAAAGTTTGTTTTTTGCTATCTCTTCTAATGTCTGTTCTGACAAACATTTACACAAGCTCATTAAGGTATGTTATTCGTTGCTTTCTGCCATCACTCTTGTCCTGAGAGTGTCAAATATTCTAAGCCCTCTTTCCACATGTACCTTAACAATTTCAACTCTATTGGTTTCTAAGTAGGTATTTCTTTTGTTTCAATTTTCCCTAAAACTGTTGTTAAGTCCATGGTATTTTTGGCCTCTTTCTATATAACCCCTTTTCTGTTGCCTCATGTCTCTTCATCTGTTAAGAGATTGTCCAGCATTCATTGCCATTTAGGAGTACCAATATTACATAACAGTTCAGAACTCTGAAAAAATTTTCAAAATTTTACTGTTTTTGTAATATTTTGCTTATCTTTTGGGAGCCATCTTTTGCTCTCCCAATGCAACTTCTGATTTCAATTCTACAGATTGTCTTCTTAAAACTGATGTTTACTTTTTTCTTCTAGCTTTACTACTTCCTGTAGGGTTTCCTGTTTCCTGTAGTTTCTTTTCTGTATTAAATAATAATTAAGAAATTAAAACAAAAAGTATTATTTGAGATTACCGTAAATTGCCAATTATTTAAAATTAAAGGGCAGTAACTCGTGTGAGTTTAAGTTTGCAGTTATTGCCCTTGTTTCGAAAATGTCAAGCTGTTGATATTTCGATAATTTTTAAGGTTTGCATTTTGCCAGTTTTGCTAAATACTTTCTTGAATTAGTATTTTAATACCATTATCATCGTAGTCTCTAAATGGAATTGTTTGTAGATAACACTTTATTAACTTAAATGCCTGAAACGAAGTTTAAATATTTGAAATATGACAGTGTTGTTTGCTTGAAGCAATTTAGAACAAGTTTGTTCAGCATCTTTTAATGTTTCTGGTACTCTATTGAATTTGTATGCTTTATACAAACAGTTATTGAAGAAGAAATTAGCATCACGCTAATAATCAGAAATAAGTGAACAGAAACTAATTAGAAAAATAACTTTCAATTTTTTGCAAATTAGCATTAATATTAATATTTTGCCTTATATCAATTTAATTGAATATGGAAAATCACTTTACTTAATTTTGATTTCTTAAAAATGCAACAGAAAATCCTTTTTGGTAATTTACTACTCGAGTAAAAAATCTTTTTCAGCAGATTAAAGAATGGAGACACTTTAAAAAAATTTTGCTCCTAATTTTAGATCGCATTTGTTTACATTTTAAACCAGATTTGAAGTCATTAGTACTCAACAAAAGTAACTCAAACTACAGAAAAATCAAGTAAATGTTGCCAAAAATGGTTTATTCACTTTAATTGGTCACTTTTTATTATGGACTTTTGTTTATGGTCAAGTCATTTTTACTTTTATATTTTTTTTTTTTTTTTTTTTTTTTTTTTACACACAGATACTCTAAAGTTGATTGGTGGACACGAGAAAGTGTGAATGAGTATTTACCCATTCTTGTCAAAAATGACCAAGGTCTCCAGGAATGGTTGCAGCAGAATGGAATTTTTCAGGTAACCTGCACATTTCTTTCATCTTGATTTATGTATAAGATCATTGACAAAATCTGTGTTTTATCACAAAGTTGCTAATAATTAACATTTTAATGAACTTATTCAAAATTAGAATATTTTGATATTTTTCTTTTTCCAAATGTTCTCTGCTTCCTTGAAACACCAGATGGTAAACAAAGACCTTGCATCTTAGAATTCAATTCCTATTCATCTTGTGAGTTTATTGGTAATGGGAAAGTTGTTTACACTTTTGTTAGAAAATGAAATTACTATATTATTTTTTCTTTTTAATTTTAATTTAATTTTTATTTTATTTTTTGTTATGAGAATTGCAAAATAAAATAATAATAATAATAGTAGTAGTACTTAAGACAATACCCAAACAAGCTACAATAACAAAAGTATATTAGTGTCATTTAAATGGTATCACTGTAGTTCTTTGATAATTAACTCATTTAAGGACTCATAATATATGGAATGTACTTGCTGAACTTAATTTTGTTGAAATAAATAACAATGTCATATTTTCTATTTATATAATTTTTTTTATTGCTTATTTCTTTCTATTTTAATCCTTTTTTTTTTTCTTTCTTTCTTTCTTTTCAGCCAATTGAAAAAGTGAAGCATTCCAATTTATTGGTGAAGGCAGTGTCAACTGTGCGAAACTATTTTGGCCAACCAGAAGGCTTTACTTTTGTCATGTCAATATTTTCGGCAGGACTTACAATCAATCTAATTTCTAAATACTTTCACTACTAAATATGGCATTTGTATGCCTTCATTGACTGCGTGTGCGTATGAATAAAAATGTTATTACCTGTATGAGTGTGCGTGTGTATTTCTTGGCACCATCTGTTTAAAAAAAAATAAAGAAGTGAAGAGAAAAAATAAAAGCTAAATAGGTTAAATCAAATAATTATTCAGATGATGTTTGATGAGACAAGCTTTTGGATATTTTCTTTCATAAAACAAACACCATACACATATTTCCTTGCACATGCAACTTGCTCATGCACATAATACAAGTTTACAAAATAAAAATGATGCAAAGAAAATTCCACAAGTTTTGAGATTTGCGGTTCAATCTTTTAATTAACAAAAAATTTATTTTTTTCATAAAAATGATTTTTTTCTTGTCAACATTTTTTCATTAGAATTTTTTTTTTTTCTTTGGAATAAAAAGAAAATTTTAACTGTTTTTGGTGTTGGATGTCATTTTATTTTTCTATAATCTTGGATGAAAACTTCTTGATTCTGACCAGGAATTTTGATTTCAAGGGATGTGTGGGTGGTGTAATGTATAGTGGCTTGGAATGAGAATTCAGAGAGCTGTTAGAATTTTGAAGAGTAAGCGTTCTCAAAGCAAATTTGTGGCTTTCACAACACAAAGAAAGAAAATCACTTGTAACGCGTCAGGAAAATAACTCACGAACGCCGTAGCCAAAACTGCCTGAATTTTCTTTTTCTTGTCGCTTGGATTGACGAGGTAAGTCGCTATAAGAGTTTTGCTGACGACTTTTTGGCAATCCCTCCCCGGCAGATCACACAAAAACAAACTTTTTTCCGGGGTACTTGATTATCTCGTTCACTACAAATTTCAATTCAGTTTGTTATATTCACTTATGTGCAAATATTCTATCTCTCCTCCTCTCACTATGGGTTAAAAAGTAGGGCTTGTATCTAAAAAAAACTTTGATATTAAAAAAAAAATGAATGTAGTTTGAAATGTTTCAGCTTTAAATAACTGACAAATCAACTGATTTTAAGTGTTTAAAATAGCATTTTATATATATTATTTTTATAGTCTTAAAATAGCCTTTATTTTAGACCTTAGAATAAGTGGGCTAAATTATTTAAAAAAAAAAAAAAAAAAAACCCTTGGAAATAGTAAACACAGACAAATACAAATTTTTCTAGGCATGACCAGTGAAATGAGAACAATCTACTGCTGTAGATGAAATAAAGGTTTCAATTCCTTGCAATGATCATTATCTTAGAATCATTAAAAATGCTTTTAACCCCTGCATTAGGATAGTTTTCACTCACACACACACTTTTTGGGGAAGTGACATAAGGTAATGCTTAATCAAAAAGAGCCCAGAAGGTGTGGGTTGTACTATTTGTAAAATTCATGCCACACAAATCCTCAAGGTGCTGTTATTTGACTTTCTCAATCATGGTAACCTTGTGCGTCCTGTACATTTGATTTCATTTCCAATGTTAGCATCTGAGCTGGCTTCCATTTGAAAAACAGGTGATATCTCTTCAATAGAGTTTTGTAAATTCCTCACATTAATTGATCAACAAAATATCTTACAAGAGAAGAAACAGTTTCGTAAAAGTTGCTAAATAACTTAAAATGTAAAAAACAAAATGTGGTGTTGCACGCAGGAGATGAAGTTGTTAAATAGCTGAAATGTATATTTACTATTCAGCACAAGTATTGAACTGATAGCCTTCAGCTAATATAAACTTGTGCTTTAATAAATTGACCTGTTCCACCTGCAGTTAAAATGGGTCCTATCCATTGAGTTCTATAGAAATTCCCAGTTTTTCCACTGGGGAATGTAAATCTATTTGCCTGGTGAAGTGATATCAGATTAGATCAACAATGATCCCAAGTTCTAGTGACTATTTTAGTTAAAAATTATCCCTCTAGGTCAAAAATCAGAAAAATAAACTATTGGGTTACATACCATGTGACCTTAAAGAAAGCATTTTATGCTGATTTCAGTTCTGAGGAGAATAAAACATTTAATCAGATCAACATGATGAAATTAATTTAAAAACCTGAGACTAAATTGTGTAGTGGCCTTTTTTTGATATCAAAAAAAAAAAAAACTTCTTTGTATTCCCAAAGATCAGACATCTAATTGAATAATCCAGTTTCACAATTAGAATATTGAAATAGTTTCTATATGCTGCTAAGACCAATGTTCAGATTTGGAAAAAACTTGCCTTGCAGTTGCAGGAATTTACTTGTGTAAATGGTTGGTTAAATAAATAATTAATCACAAAGTTAAATTTCATAGGTAAATGGTTCATCTGGGTCTTAGTTTATTTAAATATCAAAACCTTTTATTTTATTTTTTGCATTATGTAATTTTTTTGTGTAGGTTTGCTCTTGCAAAATGCCCATTTTTCTCATTCAATTACGTATTTAACATCAGATGCATCAACTTTCTTGAAACTTGGATCACAGGTTGCGATCAGGTAAGTACTGGATTTAATTACTGACCACCTTGAGGCAATTGTCAGGTTTTTCCTTGCCACAGATTTCCAATATATAATTGACAACACCAACATTTCTCTCCTGGGCCATCTTATCTGGATTAGAAACTTTTTTGATTGTTTTAGGGACACAAATGAAACTTTGGTGCCCAAGAAATATTTTACTGGGTTTTTGTGAAATCTGGATACATCAGTTCCATGGCTTTGCAAAATAATTTTTGCTGATAAAAATCTAAAAGACATTTAGGTGACTTCACAACAAAAGACTCAGCTCAAAATTCCACATCAACAAGGAAGCAATCTTCTATTTTCTTTTTTTATCCAAGAGAATCCATAATTTCTTGACAGATGTTCTTTGGCTGTTCTCTGAGGTTTCAGAGAAAAATATTTTGTACAGTTTTATTCATCTTCACAAACTTTCTCCATATCTTAATTGTAGCTGTGCTGTCATTAATAATGAAGTCAGCCCATTTTTTTTTTTTTTTTTTTTTTTTTTTTAAGATGTACTGTATTTGTAGCTAGATGCTGTGGAATGTATTTGCAGTATGTTAAATTAACCCAGTCAGAATCTTTCATTTCTCAGGGATAATCCCAAATATTGGAGAATTTCTTTGTGCTCTATTGATTGATAGTGACAAACAATAGTTTCCTCATGCCATTTTTCTGCTGATCTCTCAGAGTAAACAATGCATGCTGAACCTGTTTCTTCTGCAACAAAGTTCAATGTCATTGCTTTTCGTTTGCATTTTTATTCATCATTTATTTCTGTGAACGGCTAAAATGTTGTGGTCACGTACACCATGTAGTGTGTTTCTTCTGCTCCCTATATTTATTTCAACCAAACAAATGATTAGCAACAACAACAATAATAGCTTCCTCTGATTGTTTGTCTATGGTTTGAAGAACTCTTGACTCTGTAGAATCCTAGTTTTGATATTCCTCATACCACTTTGAAATATGTTTATAATGGTGATCATCAGAATGAGTATGGATTTTATTTTCATATTTCTCTTCATTCTTCAGTTTATTCATTGTAAATGCCACATCATTGTCATTACACTTTATCTTCATATGTATAAGGAGGTACAATTCCAAAATTCTTGTCATATGGTTCATTTGTTGGTTTATTTATTTTAGCTCACCAATGGCTTATCTCTCATTTTCTATCTTTATAGATGGCTATTCATCTTTTGATTTTAGCAAAAATTCCAGCCTGATGTACTTATTTTCTGATGTTCTTGTTATTAGCAATTCTGTTAAATAAACATTGACAATTCTTCTTGAACAAACTTATTAAACTGTCACAAATACATTTTTCTTTTTCACATTTGGAGATATTCTCATATTCTGTAAATATGTTATCTAATATTTAACAACAATGATGGGATGAACATCACATTAATTCCACTGCGAAAGAAGTTGAAACTTTGGAATGGTCAGATCCATGAATCCTTGTGCTTTTTGCTCTGATAGCTAAGAGAAATTCAAGGACCTTTTTATTTCCATTTCTGAAATCAAATATGCTGTCATATTTTAAAAAAAAAAAAAAATTTAAATCGCAAAAATTAAAATGAATAATAAATTCCATAGCCAACAACTATATGTCTTCATGATCCAGAGAATAAATCAAGGGTTGACTGGAATACAGAATGTTGCATTAAAACGTTTATATCACAAAGATATTTTTTGTTTCGGAAATGGTGAGCCACCAGAGAAGACATTAAAAAAATTACATTCAACTCTGAAGCAACACTCAGGTCAAATTTGATTAACCTCTTATAAAATGGAATTTACAAACCTGCGCTCACAGGTTTTCAAATAATGAACTGCAAGAGGTTTCAGTGAATGGTGTTGGCCAAATTTACCTGCATATTCGAAAGGTGTGAAAAGAAAAGTTAAATTAACTACTGAAGCTTCCCAAATTGTATAAGAACAAAAAGCAAGGGAAAAGCATATTATTACTAAATCGTGTCATCAAATAAAACCTTCATTTACTTAAAGGACATTATACTGAACAATTTAGTTATATTATGATGCTATGTCATACAATGCAAGAGTGATTTTCAATAGACAATGTAAATTTTAAACATTTTGTCTTTATAATTTTTTCCCAGCAGTATTATGGTGTTATATACACTTTATTTTATTTTTTATATTAATTCTAGCCTAACAAATGGTGTAATATCTTATTCATTGATTAAACTTTTATTTACAATTTTTACTGTTTTTATTTATCGAATACAATAAAAAAAATTGCATATTTTCAAAAAATACAACTTTATTTGGATTTATTCTTGAAATAGCAAAATTTTGAAGTCAATTTATAAGCAAAAACCTGTGGAAATTAACTATTTTTGTACATTTTTCAATCTTTAAACCTAAATGCCCCAAAATTGGTAAAAGCTATGAATCTAATTTTTGTGTAAATACTTATCTCTTTTAAATATTAATTTTCTAATAAAAGTAAAAAATCAACCTGCCCGATTTTTGATGTACGAAATTTCCAAGACTTTTATAAATAACTGTGT